CAGACCAACACTTTCAATAGAAATATTATGCAAATCACAAATGCACACCTCTCCTGTGATTTTAAATTTTCTAGTCACCACATCGTAAAAATTAAAATAAGTAGGTTTTAAATAAATAAAATTAAAATTATTAATGTTAATAATATATGCTTATTTAACCCTGTCTGTCCAAAATATTATCATTTCCACATGGAGCCAGTATATTTTCTAATTACCTACTAAGTGTTCAAACTCCTTGTATATTTTACATCTCAGTTCAGACGAGCTCCATTTCAAGTGCTTGGCAGCCCTGTGTGCCTGTGGCGACCTGCCGCGATGATGTGGGAGCCCCTGCGCCCAGGTCAGCTGACTCTGCTTCCTCGGCAGCCCTTTGGGAATTTGGTTTATCATGTCTTCTTCAGGATTTACCTTTGTAGCTTTGCTGGAGGGGCACAGAGGGGTTAAGAAGCCAAATTCTGTCCTCCCTCTGAGCTGGGTTCCAATCTCAAAGCCTAGGGACACAACTCTGGGCAGTCATTTTACCCTTTGAAATGTAAAATGAGGGTCATAAAAATGCCAACTTCTGGGATTGGAGCAAGGATGCCTGGCAGGAAATATTTACCTGCCCATAAATAGTGACCTAATGAATCAAAACCGTAGCCCACTTTTTGGCACTGTGATGGTTAATTTTAGGCATCAACTTGGCTAGGCTATGGTGTCCATTTTAGTTAATACACCAGTCTAAATGTTGCTGTTCAGGTATTTTTAGATGTGATTAATATTTAAACCAGTAGACTTTGAGGAAAGCAGAGCTCCTCCACACCGTGGGTGGGCCTCATTCAATCGGTTGAAAGCCTGAAGAGCAAAGACTGAGGTTTTCCAAGAAAGTGATTCTGCTTCAAGATTACAACCAGGAAACTCTGCCTGAGTTTGCATCCTGCAGATTGCAGCCATCAGCTCTTCCTGAATTTCCAGCGAGCTTGCTGGCCTGCTCTACAAATTTCAGAATTGCCAGTCCCCACAATCGCACAAAGCAACTCCCTAAAATAAACCTCTCTCATGCAACACATAAAGCATGACTATATGACATATATCCATTTCCACAGGTGATGGTAGCTCTGGACCCTCCTTCTGAAGACCTGAACATTAGAGGTTGAGCAGCTACACTGCTCACGTCACTGCATTAACGTAACAAAGTCACATCCCAGCCTTTCCTTCCCCGTAAGTGAAATGTCTTGCAAGACAGAGTGGACTGAGGCAGAAATGGAGTGAATGCCCCCATTCCAGAGCCCCTCCTTCACTGTCAGGCCAGCGCCGCCTTTCCAAAAGTATGGGATAACGAGGGTGGGCTTTGCTGGGGAAAAGAGGGTATGAGGGTCTGGGAGCTGCCCCTGAGGGCTGAGTCAGGTGTGGGAAGTCCCTGTGCCCAGAGGATGGATGGCCCAGGGCCCCATCACCTCACCACCCTGGTCTCCTATCAGAATTCCTGTTGAATTCGGCTCCACATGGCAGCCAGAGCGATTTTCCTGAAGCGTGCATTGTGTCATTGCCATGTTCCAAGGTCCTTCCGAGGCTTTCCTGTGATCTTAAAATAAAGCCCAAAGTCCTTCACAGGGCTTACAAGGCACTGTATGACCCGGTCATGGTCAGGCTAGTGTCTCACCTCCCGCAGCCCTGGCCAGATGGAGCTCATGGAACCCTTGCATACGCACTGCCCACTGCCTCTTCTCCCTGCATGTGGCCCACCCTCCAGGTCACACTTTGGGCACTGGCTCCCTCCCCTCATTCTACATGGCAGCCTTGCTCTTATCGGCTGGGCCCCCAAGGCCCTGGCTCAGTGCCCCCACCACCAGAACTTGTGTATAGGAGGCCTTTAGATAACAGAGCCATCTGCCTGGTTGGCTCTGGGGGCTCTTGACAGTGACCACAGGCACTCCCCTGCCTCTGCCCTCCTCCTCCCAAGAACAGCCACGGCTGTACTGTGACTGTCCTCACATCGCAGGCCACCTGGTGCCCCGTCCAGCCTCCCACACAGTGGTGCTCACTAAATATCATGCCCTCCCTGTCCTGGGTTCTTCCATGTGCTGCCTGGGTGGGTGACCCTGCACCAATCCCTTTCCCTCCCTGGGTCTCCTTGACTAATTAGAACTTTGCTTTGATTTGCAAACTCTGAAGTTCTGGATAACATAAAGGGGGAGACGATGCCACCCTATGAATGCATGTTCCCAACACACTGCTGAGGTTTTTCATGCATGTTATAAAATAACATGTACAGTCAGAAGCCTGTTCTTATAAAAACTTAAAATAACTACACGTGTATGTAGAAAATAACTGCCAACTATTGAGACTTAGTCTGAGCCAGGTTCTAATGTGCTGAGCGCTTTACTGTGTATCATCTCATGACTCTTTAGAACACTGCGGGCTGGGTACTGCTAATATCTCCCATATGGAGGAAGAAGCTGAGGCCCAGAGAGGCCCCCTAGCTCGTGAGGGGTAGAACTGGACTTGACCCCAGGCTTTCCAAGTCCAAAGGCCATGTGTGCACTTTGCTGCCAGGCCAGTTGATGCCTCTGTCCAAATTGGAAATAATAATAGCTCCTGCCTTATAGGGTTCTGGGAGGATTAAATGAGCTAAGAAGTGCGAAGCCCTTAGAGCGGCTCCTGGCACGCCTAAGGGCTCAGTAAGTATGTCACCCACCACAGCATCGGACTGTCTCTGTGTGGGCCCTGCAAGATCACACTCAGGAATGTTAACAGTGGTCATCTCTGGTCATGGGGTCATGGGTGATCATATTTTTATATTTTTCTACAATGATCAGGTATTACTTGTATATTTCTTTCTTTTTAAATTCTTGCATATATGATATGTTCAGTGAGCTGTCACTCTCCTCAAAGCAGGCCCATGAGTTGTCTGAGTCACTTCCATGGTTCCCCCCAGGCCTGGAACAGAGAGACCCCAGTAAAGGATCATAGCAGGGAACATTTCAGATGAGCCCCTCCTAGCTCAGGTTCAATGACAACATGCTTGGCAGGAGTCAAAGTTGGGGGTGTGGGGTGTGGGTCAGTGCCAGAAACTGGCCTGGGCTAAGCCTGCCCTTTGCTGGCATTACCCCAAAAGGCACAATGGAATGCCTGGTGGCTCTTCCGGGCCCCGGGGGGCGGGGGGGTGGGAGCAGCCATGATGCGTGAGACCTCCGGCCCTGAATCCCCCAACAGCTGTGACCACTTCAGCTATTTTAAGCCCTTGAACACCAGGAGGCTCCCATCACACCAACCAGGCACTCCTGAGCCAGGGCCAGGAGCCCTGAGTATGGGTCTGCCAGGTCCCGCTGGATTCTTTAAGGAGAGTGAGTTTCATTTCTTGACCACTCAACTTGTGCCAGACACTGTGCCAGTGTTTTCCATACACTGTCTCATTTGCTGTCATCCTTATGTCTATGCTGAGAGATCAGTTGTTCACAGATGAGGAAAATGAGGCTCCAGGTGTCTGGCGAAATTGTCCAAGGCTCCACAAGAGCAGGCCTGGGGCTAGAACTTGGGTTTCTTTATCTACCAATTAAATGTTATCATTACCCTGCCCCTTGTTGGCTTACCTGCGCCTCAGTGAGGGTGCGATGTTCCTCCCTCCACTCTCCAGTTTTCTGGTGGGTGAAATCAGGGTATTGTGCTCTATGATCCTCAGGAAGGTCGAACCCTGGCATATGCCCAGTATCTGCCACATAGTAGGGGTTCAAAAGATTCTAGTAGAGGGATGCCCAGAGAGAGCCTGCCTTGGGGGCCTCACAGTCAGCTCTGAGCTGCACCAGTTTTTCCCTCTGGCAGCTAGTCACCCTGGAGCTGTCTCCTGATTGTGATGCCCTCAGCAGCCAGCAGGAACCTATCAAAAGTCACCAGTGTTTCCCTGGGCCTGTGCGTTTTTAGGGACAGATAACCCCCTAGCCCAACTCAGGCCTTCCTGTCCTCACCCACATTCCTCCCCTTCTTGGCTACCCAGGAGCAGCTGGGCACTCTGCCATCTCCTAATTTGGGCCACCTTGAGGAAGCCGCTGGGGTCCGGGGTGTGGGTATGTCTCAGCTCTGGGCACTTGCGAGCCTCAACCCTTCCATCCCCCTGCACTCCTACCCCCTTTTCAAACATACATCCTCTCCAGCCCACCCTATCCTTCTAATAACCTCTGCGCCTCACCCCCAGTAACTGACCCCTCTACCAAGGACCACATACACATGGCTGGATTATCTGAACAGGCCCTGGCTTGGCTTCAGGACTGGAAGGGTTTGGGATGGGGCAGAGGGGTGGGGAGCTGGTTCAGGAGCCCCTGGATGTCTTCCTGCACCTCAGCCTCCACAAGACACCAGCTGACCTCTGCAGCAGCACCCCACCCCTCGCCTAGCGGAACCCCTCTCTGTCCCTCCATGCGAACATCATATTTCAGTCCACAAACGCAGGTCAGCTCAATGCCCTCCTCTCCAGCTTTCTCACGCAGCCACAGCTGGGGTCTTCGTGCACCCTCCCTAGGGGCCCTTCGATCCATTGCAGCCAGATGACCCCTTTCACTTCCACTCTTGGCCACTCCTCGCTGAGCACACCATGCCATGGCTCCCATCTCCCACCCACCAAAGCCGTGGCTTGGCACTGTGGCCCTGTAGGGAGTTCCCACTCCCACGCCTCCCCATTTTCCCTCTGGTAATAGGGATCAGGGATTGTTGTGGGCTGGAGGGGGATGTCAGACTGGCTTCCTAGTTTTACTCAGGTGGCTCCCTCTCCTCCCTTCCCCTTAGTTTGCAAATGCCTCCTTTAAGAAGGCTGGTCCCGGACCCCAGGCTGGGTTAGGGCACCCACTCCCTCTGGGGTCCCACCACTTCCGGTCCCCGCCCCTATGACAGCTCCTCGTTTCTGTCATCTGCCCCAGCTTGAGCATTGTGCCCCGGAAGGGGGCGGGGCGGAAAGAGCTGTGGGCGTGGCCACGCTTGACGGACGGGACGCTGCGAGAGGAGGTGCACGGGCCGCCCCGCCCACCGGCGGCAGGATAAAGGCAGAGCGCCGGCCCTGAGTGGGCTGCTGGGGTGAGCGCACCTGCCACTGGGGCTGGATGAGCTGGGACACAGGGCCGGCCACGGCGGGAAAGATGCTACACGAGCGGACGGTGCGGCTGCAGTACGGGAGCCGCATAGAGGCGGTGTATGTGCTGGGCACGCAGCTCTGGACCGATGTCTACAGGTAAGCGGGGTCACCGCACCGACCCCGGGATGCAAGTCCCGAAATTTCAGCCCCAGAAACCCGGAGACCCTCCCCGGACTCAGACTCGGGGTGGGGGGGCAGCCAGCCTTCCTCCAGCCAGAGTTGCCCCTGGTCCGAGGTGCCCGCACCCAGAAATCCTAAGAACCTCACCCAGAAATCTGACAGCCCCCAAACTTTGCGTCAGCCTCCCCGAAATCCCGAGACCCTCCTAGACCGCCTGACTCCCTCACCTGCACCCCAGGCTTCCCACCTCCAGGCCCTCTCCAGCTGCTCTCCCAGGAGGACCTCAGCACCCCTCAGCTTTCTCACTCTCCTCCGTTGTGCCGTCCACTTCCCTCAGACCCTCCTGACTCACCACCCACCTCATGTCAACTGAGCTTCCTCCAGAATTTGCTGGGGGTGCTGGGGCAGGGCCAGAGGGGAGCTGCCCTGGGGCAGGATCTGGCCCTGGAGGTTGCTCAGGCTCCAGTTGAGCCCTGGGGGGGTGCTGGTGGTGGTGGTGATCCATCCCCAGGCACTGGCTGTGAGCTCCGCAGCACCCGAATGCCTTCCCCTGACTTCACCCTGGGGTCAGGGAGGGACCTTGTTCCATCCCATTGGGGAGTTAAGGTTTTGGTAAGAAGAGTGGCCCTGATCCAGGACCCTGTTCCCTCCCTCTCTTCCCCCAGGATTTCTGACACCAGAAGACCTAGGGTACAGGAATTGAGGTCAGGGCCCCACCACTACCCAGCCCCCAGGAAGCAGCCCAGTCCCATAATTCATCTCCCTGTAGAGTGTGGGGCCGCCTTGTGAAAGTCTGGCCGATGTGAAGGAAGGGGCGGAGCAGGTCCAGGATATCATGCAACCCTCCACCCAGTGCATCTGAAATGTCCCCATTGCTAGGGTGGGAGGGGTTGGTGCTGAGAGGAAGAAGCATGCAGGACTCAGGTGGGACCCTGTGCTGATAACCTTAGTCAGGTCCCCTGATCTCTCTGTGCCTTGAGCTAACCCGAGGTACCAATGTGTCTTACTGCTCCCAAATCATTACATCATATGGTGCACCCTGCCACTCGCAGGCCCCCAGCAAACCCCATCCCTGTGTCTTCCCACACGTCCTCCCCAGCCCATTCTCTTTGTCACCTCCAATGGCCCTGGCACCTCTGCCAGCTCCTCAGCAGGCACTGGCCGCACTGATCCCATCAAGCCCCAGCCTCCTTCTCAGAGGGCAAAGGGCCCGGTCACTGTGCCAACCAGGGATCCTCTCCCCTCATCTGCCCTTGGCCTCCACTGTCCACATGTAAACCTTAGGAGTGGTTTCTGAGGGCCACAACACAGCAGTGGAGTGCGGTCCGGTCCTCAGTGGCCTGGGAGAGCTCCCCTCCCTTCCCCACTCCCAGTCCTAAACTGGACACTGCCAGGGAGTGGGCTGGGGGCCAGGGCGCTCAGGTCTCTAAGCCTCAGCTGTCACCATACCCGCCTGTTTGTTCCCTGGGGCATTTTGGTGCAGCCTAAAAGGCTGGCACGGGGGCTCCAGTGGGGTGGGGAGTAAAGAAGGGGGCCGTGCTCAGGCCCCCTGCCCTGCTTTGCCCTGGCAGAGAGAGCCCAGCCCCAGTGGGGGCAGGGAGCTGGGGAGGTGTGGGCTCATCCTCCCTCTAGCAGGGGGCGCAGGTGCAACGATGCCCTTCATGCCTTCTCCAGAAACCAGCCTCAGCCACAAGGACCCACACCTCTCTCACTTGCCCTTCACTGAAGACTCCACCACCCCCAAGCAAAGAAGTGCAGTCTAGACCAGCACCAGCCAACAGAGAGAACGCAAGCCGCCAGAGAGCCACGAGTGTAATTTTTAATTTTCTAGTGGCCACATTTTTTAAGGTTAAAATAAACAGGTGAAGTTCATTTTAATAATATATTTAATCCAACATAGACAAAATATTAGAGTTTCAATATGTAATCAATGCAATACTTTACATCCTAAGTCTTTGAAATTCAGCGTGTCTTTTATATCTATAGCACATCTCAATGCGGACTAACTGCCTTTCAGGTGCTCAATAGCCCCACGGAGCTGGTGGCACTGAACCGGACAGCACAAGGGTAGGGCAGGAGTTCCCAACCTCAGCACTATCACATTTGGGGCCAGATAATTATCTGTTGTGGAGGCCGTCCTGTGCATGGTAGGATGTTGAGAGCGGCATCTCTGGCCAATCTGGAGGGTGGCTGGTAGCACACCTTCCCCACCAAATTGGGACAAGTAGAAACATCTCTGGATAATGCCAGCAATCTCCTGGCAGGAGGAACTGCCTAGTCGAGAAGACCTCCAGTTGGGAACTGCTGGTCTGGTAGAACAAAGCCTCTTCCAGAACTAAGGAGACAGGGCCATGACTGCCGGTGTTACTCCTATACCTGTAATGGTTAAAAGCTGCAGTCCTTACTGATAACAGCAGGGCTATTAGTGAGCACTTAGGAACCAAAAGCATTGTCTCCTGTCTTCCTCACCACAGCCCTGGGAGGTCCTGCTGTGATCATCCCATTTTGTAGATAAGGAGAGTGAGGCTCAGAGAGTTGAAGCCATCTGCCCGAGGGCACCCAGGACTCAGGTCCAGGTCTGTCTGACTCGGAACTCATGCTCTTAACCTCCACTCTACCTTGGGGAACCCTAAAAGTAGCAGATTGAACTGGATGACCCTCTCAAACTGTGTCCCTTCCACCCTTCACCCAGGCCATGAGCCAACTGCCTCTGGACACTTCACCGAACCCCACTCAGTCCTCCACTTCCCACTGAGTCCTTCCAGACCCAGACATAGGTTCTGACTCAAGAGCCCATGTGACACCCCCAAGGAGACACCAAGGTACAAGGCCTAGTGGACCCAGTTAGTAAGGGAGTGGTGCCTTGACCCCTCACTCCTAAGTCACAGAGGTGAGTAAACAGACCTCAGTACTCACCCCCTTTTCCCAAGGGCTCTGGACCCCCTTTTCCCAAGGGCTCTGGGCCCCCTTACCTGACCTGTACACACAGCTTCCCATCCCTCCAGATACACAGCAGAGGCCTCGCCTTCCCCATTCCTCAGCAGACCCTGTGGTTCACCCACTCTTGCCCAGCAAACCTTTTGGGGATGCATGCCCTGACCTGGCCCCATTCTGAGTGCTAGTGTACAGCAAGCTATGAGCAGGTGCATAGAAAGGAGGAAATGGGATTTTTTTCTAGAGATTTACTTTGTGATCATTGTTACCGACGCCTGCCGTTCCTGCCTCGTACTCCCCAGCGTACTTGTCTTACATCCGGCACGTGTGCACCTTGTCCACGCAGTCTCCCCTGATGGTCCCTTTAGTGGGCAGCTGCTTCTTCTCTGGAGCCGACCTGGGTTCCCGTCTGATTCTGGCTTAGGTTGGAGAGAGGGCACAGAGTGAGCAGCATCCCATGTTGGTTTCTCCCCCTCTCTCACATTCGGGGGGTGATGTTCTCCCTGCACTGGTGCCAGGGACCCCCCCAGAGTCTGGAGGGATTGGAGAAAGGGCAGCCTTGGAGGCAGGTAACAGGGTGATCACACTGTGCTCTACTCTCCCACTGGCCCCCAAATGGGACCATGAGATGTTTCTCCTCTGCCTCCCTCGGGTGATGCGTCTACACAGGGCCTGGGAGTTCTCACTGGGCAGGTGCCCCCTCCTCCTCCATGGCAGAGAGGAGTCAGGAGCAGCCTAAGGGCTGCAGGAGCTTCGGGCAGAGATGATTCTAACTGTCTGCTGTCTCTGCAGGACAGTGTCCTGGCGAGATGTGATCTCATGGTGAGCCCATGAGGTGGGAGGTGGGTGCTCCCCCACCCCCTTCTCCAGGGTACCCCAAAGCAGAGGTTAACCAACCAATTTTCCCAGAAGGAGGCTGCCCATCACTCTATGGCAGAAGATATGAAGTGGGTCCCAGGATAAGAGTGCCTAGAAGTTGGCACAGTAAAACGCTGGGAAAGCGTGCAAAGAAGTACCCCTTCTTGGGGAAGAGCCTGGAGAATCTAAATTCATCCTATCTCACGCCTTCAGCTCACTCCCAGACTTCCTCTCTCTGTCTCATAGTTGGTGTGAGTGTTTTAGAAAATATTCTTAGGACAAAGGCTGGGGAGTGTCTGCAGTCCAGTTTGAAATGAGGGGGACTTGGGGTACCAGGGTCTCCCCTTCCCATAGAGTGCCAGGCCCCACTCCACTGACCCCATCTCCTGCCACCGCCCTGCACACACGCCACTGTGGCCACATTGGCTTTGTGGATAGTTAGGCCTTGACTGCACCTAGCTCCCACCTGCCTCAGGGCCTTTGCACATGCTCTTCCCTCTGCCTGGAGCACTATCCTTCAGACCTCTGAAGTGCTCTACCTCATTGCTACTTCTCTTCCCTGCAGATTTTTCATTTACTTAATATTGCTCACTGATATTTATTGAACGCTTATTCTGTACCAGGCTGACCTTAGCACCTTGCCTGCTCTTCGTGTATATTTAATAATTTATATGTGTGTTTAAACGTCACAACTTTGAGTTAGGTACTATTATTGGCCCCCTTTTCAGCTGGGGAAACTGAGGTAAGGAATGTTTGTCCAAGATGACACAGCTGAGAATAGCGGTGGCGCACAGCCCAGGCCCCTGACCGCTCTGCCGGGCTGCATCCTGGGACTTGGGTTTCAGGCATGTCCTCCTCCGCTCTCACTGTCCTCCTTGTTCTGTATTCCTCCAGCCCTCAAGTCAATGAAGGGCTCCTTGGCTGAGTGAATGAATGAATGCATGTGGCCAGTGATGGATGTAGACTGGCCTGTCATTGGGCTGAGCTCTCCACCCCCAGCCTCAAGGGATGAGCACCATTGGACTGGCCAGTGGAAGGTCAAGGGCATATAGCCGAGCTTGGCTAGAGCAGCACTTGTTCCTGAGAGAATGATGGTAGGAGGAATCAGGCCAGGTCAGGTGGCCTCATAAATTAGAACAACACCCAGAGCTCTCAACCCTGAAAAAGAGGCCCAGCCAGGAGCTGCCCCAGGGCTCCGGTTTCAGGCTAGTTCCCAGGGGGTGGCAGGGTTCTAAGGAGGGCCTGGCACCCCGTGTGTTGAGCCCACAGCCCCCTGCACAGCTGGGGTCCCCCAAAGCTTTCCCCTCCTGCCCACAGGTCCCTGAGTCAGGTTGGGAGGATGGCGATAGGGGCTCGCCCCAGTGCCTACCCCCAGCTGGACAGGCATACCTGTTAAATTCTGGGGGAAGCCAGCTTTCAGAGGCAGCCCTGTCCTACCCAGTGGTGCCAGGCGCTGGGCCCAGGGGTCTAGAATGGCCCACAACTGCTTATCTCAATCACTCACCCAAGAGCCCAGTGCAGGAAGCCAGCCTTTGGTGTCCCCTCTCTGGGTCTTTGACCTGCACCTGCAAAATATGTAGAGGCCTCAAGAGGTTCCTAACAGCTTCTCATTTGATCCTTTCCTGAGCCAGGGCTGATAACCCCTGTCAGTACCAGGTGTCCCTGCCCAGAGGACCTCTAGCGGGGACTATAACCTATGGTTCCTCTCCCAGGAAAGCAGCAGGCAGGCCCAGAACTCAAAGAGCTGGACCTCATTCTGCCATTACTGTCCCAGAGAGTGCTCACCCTATGCGGGCCTCAGCATGCTCATCTATAAAGTGGGATGACATTAATACAGGCCTCATGGGGTTATCGAAAGGATGGACTGAGATCATGTGTGCCGAGGGCTTGGAACGTGTCTGGCACATAATAAATACTCAACAAGTAGTTGTCATAAATTAGTGTTGGGTTTATTATAGTATTATTAAAACAAATAATAATGAGATATGGCCTCAAAGAGTTCAGAATGTCCCTGGGAGAGAAATGTTGATCAACATTTGTTAAGTGTTTGCAGCATCAGCAAAAGGAGAGAAAGATGGATCCTGGCTGATGTGATCGGGGGGACTTCCTGGAGGAGATGGCAACCAAGCCAAAAGATGGACAGGGGTTCACAGTGTGACCAGAACATGCCATGCAGGAACAAAGGTACCTGACAGGAAAGTTGTAACATGTGGGGGCAAAAAAGGACATAGTTTCAGTGGCATAGAGTGTAAGGCTAGAGAGTGGATGAGCTCAAACAAGGGGTTTGAATGCCAGGCTCAGGTGTTAGACTTAGTTCTGTAGGCAGTAGGGAGTCATTGAAGGCGCTAGGGAGGAGTGACCATAGATTAGATCATTTCTTCCCTAAGGAGAGGGCCCAGGGCAACTGGAGGCCCCAGTGCCTCGGAGAGAGGCTGGAGAGGTTACCAGGTAGAGAAGGATGGCTGGCTGAAGACTAACATCATGGTTAGCTTCTGCTGATTCCTGACCAGGGCAGCCACCTACCTCAGGGCTCCAGCCACCGCCGTGCCAGGTGTGGAGCCTTGCCTCCCTCCCCTCATCTCTCTCCTTGAGGGTGCTCACCATAGGGTTGCATGCCAAGCTGGCATCCACGACCCCACAACCTCAGACTCCTGCAAAGCCCTGAGGGCAGGATATCCCCAGGCTGCCAGGCACTGGGTTCACTGTGGGCATGAGCCCCAACTGGTGTTAACAAGCCCCAGAGCAGGTGGACAAGCTGAGACAGGGAGCTAGAAGCAGGCATGTCATGTCCTCAAGTCTGGGACTGAGCAAGCCCCCAGCCTGTGAGGCCAAGCGGGTCACCCTCTCCACCAGCTGAGCAAAGAGCAGAAAAGCTGACTGCCTCCCCAGAGACCACACAGCCTTTGTGGGGCTGAGCGGATGTTAGGTCACAGAGCCCAGAATTCCCTTAATTCGTCTGGGCTCAGTAAATATATGTCTTCTACATCTTACATAGCTTTCCAGTCTTGTTTAAAGTTCATTTGATGTTTCTCTCCATTTCCACGGCCACCACCCAGTCCCATGCCGCCGTCATTGCTCACCTGGACAGCTGCAGTCACCTTCTCCCTGGCTCCCCCACCTCCCCGATTGCTCTCCTGAAATCCACTCTCCTCCCAGCACTCCGTGTGATCTGTCTCCAGTGCACACATGATCGCATCACCACCTCTTAGAAGGCTTCAGTGCTCTCAGGAGAAAGGCCACTCCTCGCCATGAGCTGGGTCCTCTCCACCGCTCTCTCCCTCCCCTTGCTCACAAACTCCAGCCACACTGACCTTCCACTTTTTGAACATGCTGGACTAACATCCACCTAAGGCCATTACCCAGGCTGTCCTTGCTGCTTGGACATCTCTGTGCCTCTCCCTCTCCTCACTTTGGCCAATTCAGTGGTTCTCAAACTGTGGTCCTGGACCACCTGGAAGCTTGTTAGAAATGCAGTTCCACTCCACAATATACATGTATATCAAGTCATCATATCCTACACTGTTGTATACGATTATGCACAACGACATTTGTCAGCTGTTTCTCAATGAAGCTGGGAGGGGGAGAGTGCAGGTTCTCAGGCCCCAGTCCACATCTGCTAAATCAGATACTCTGGGGGATGGCCTGACAACTGTATTTTAACAGGCCCTTCAGGTGATACACACTCAAATTTAAGAACCACTGATCTAATTAATGCTTGTCTGTTCTTTAGCATGTAAAGTTTAGACCTCAGCTCAAATGTCACCACCTCCAGGAAACCTTCCCTGATCTCCAAGCCAGGGCTCAAGGCATCCCATACTTCTCCTTGATAGCAATTCTCATGGCTGAAATCACATAATTAGTTGTGTAACCCATTGAAAGCCTTTCTCTTCCACTGGAATATTTACTCCATGGGCTCAAGGGACATGTTATCTTTTTCGCCAAACTGCCCTGGCACCTAGAGCTGTGCCTGACACATAGTAAGTACTTGATAAATATGTGTTGAGTGAATGAATGACCACATAAGAAAGCACCCTCTTCTAGCCCTTCCTGCAGCAAACATTTAGACCTATTGCTTGCCTGTACTAAGCCAGGTGCTGAAATAAAAAAAAATACAGTCCCTGTCTTCAAGGAGCTAACTGCCATAAGGGGAAATAAACATGGATGGAGACAAATTGATTGAGTTGGTTCTTTAAAGAGGGGTGGACAGTTGCCAGGCAGAGAAGTCAGGGGGAAATATTACAGGTAGAAGGAATAGCATATGCAAAATGCACAGTGAGCTGGAACAGTGCAAGGAGTTAGAGGGTAAGAGGGGTTTCAGGAAATGAGGCAGGAGCGTCAAGTTGAGATGCAGGGGCCAGATGCCCCTGGGTGAATTGGATTTTATTGTATCAGTAGGCACTGAGGAGCCACTAAATATTTTCAAACAGGCAAGCAACCTGATTTCTTTGTCTTTTTTAAGGGGGAATAAACATGGATGGAGCAACACAGTCTGAGAAACCAAGAAGGGTGGGCTCATTCATTCATTTATTCCCAAAGCATATATTGAGTTTGGCCATGTCCTGGGCACTGGGATACAACTGTGGGCATAGCAGACGTGGTCCCAGGGACTGGCAGCCTGTCCCTCTGTCCACACTATCTTTAGCCTCTTTCCCATAAGCCCAGGACCATGGCCACCACCGAAATCCCCACTCTCTTTGCCTTGATAAAGTCCTGGGCCCCTCCCTGCAGCCTCCCAGGAAAATTGAGGGGCCTGCAGCCCCTGGTTCTAGGGTTTCTGCAGGGGATTCTGAGAGGTTCTTTCTGGGGAGGGAGGCAGCCTGCAGGATCCATAGGGCACAATGGGTGCCTTTGTTGCTTGTGCCAGGGCCACTCCAAGAATAGCTGTTTGCTCAGCTCAGAGCAGGGCTGGTGCTGGGGTAGGAGGGTGTGGGGCTCTGAAGCTCCAATGTAGGCCGGGCATTAACCCCCTGAGCCTCTGGGGCCTCCTCCAGTTTCTTGCTGGCCCAGAGGAATTAAGGTGGCCGAAAGTGTCACTTACACCAACTATTGTCAGAATCAGTGTCCTTAAAGATCCTCCCCTGTGAGTTTGTAAAGCATTTTGTCCCAAATAGAATTGTATGCAGAAACCCAATATATAAAACCAGATGAAATACTAGTGGCTCTGGTTAAAGATGGGCAGGGACCCATCAGAGGGATCCCCAGCTTTTCAGCCCTTCCCTCCCCATACCTTTGTCCAGGGTCTGTCCCCTCTGCGCAGCCTGGACTCCAACCACCTCTGACCTGGCCCCATCATCTTATTTTACACTTAATGAAACTAAGAGGAGATCACCTTGCCCAAGGCCACCCAGAAAGATGATGGTCAAAGCTGGGACTTGCCCTAGAGGAAGATTTCCCAGACCCAAACCCATAATTGCTTAGACTCATGATTTTTACCAAAACCAGATTCCACCTGTAGTACTACTAAACATTTTTCTTTAAATCAACTTACATTTTTCTTACAACTTTATTTTAAATGGAGATCTTATTACCATAAATGGCAAGCCTTTGTCAATTGCCTTAAAAACATACCACATGTAATAAATACATCAATCTTTTAAAGTGTTCATCCATGTGCCACCTAAAAGCATCTTCCCTGCACAGCCACACCTCCCTTGGGAAGTGCCGCCTGGTGCTTCTACGAGGCTCACCTCTGTCCTGCTCAGTTCCACCCTCTTTGCCCGGCGTGTGTGATGTGCCCAGCCCCGTGCTAGTCCCTGAAGAGGAGGAGAAGTATATGAGACAAAACGCAGCCCTCGCCCTGTGAGGGGAGAAAGATGAAGCCTGTGGAACAGGAGCGGTGGGTAGTCATCCTGTGTCTTATAGTCCAGCACATGGACACCCTGAAGATGCAAGGGACACACTAAAGACTCTCTCAGCAACTCATTGGAAAAACTGTGCTCGAACCCAGATGTTCTGCGCATGTACCCCCAATTCAGGGTTTTTGCTTTGACTCTGTGCTTCCCCTAATAATGGATGTAGACAGAGGGCAGCAGGCCACAGCCAACGGGCATCCAGTGCCCCATGACTGGCTGAGGAGTTTACAAAGGAGTAGATAGATAAGAACCAGAGTGGCCCTGGAGCTTCTTTCTTGAGCTCATTTCCCCATGCCTAGCACGGGCTGCCAGGCCCTGATCCACTCTATCCTGCCATGTCCCAGCCCAGCCATCTGCGCCAGCAGCCCCTGCAGTCTGTGGCCTGGGCCTGAGAGACCCTGCCTGGCAACCTCTATAGATTCACACTCACAGCCTGGGCCACCACTGGGCTCTACCCACAGAACTGCACTGAGGACCGTCTAGATCAATGATGCTCCAAGTGGAGCCACTGGACCACCAACAGTTCCTGGAAACATGGTAGAAATGCAGATTCTCAGGCCCCTCCAGACCTGCTTAACCCAAAACTGAAGGGAGGGGCCCAGCAATCTGTTTAGACAAGCTTTCCAGTAAATTCTGCTGCTGCTGAAGTTTGAGAACTATGAGCTACTACTGTAAACCTCCTACTCAACCCTGGCCACTGTTTCCCTCTTCAGCTGCCCCAGCCGCCCCTCAGTGCTGCCAGCTGGACTCGCCAGGGCTAGGATCTACCATTCTGGAGCCTTAAAAAACCCTGAAGGTTTAAACAACAGCCTCCGATGGTTCTAATGCCCAACCATAGTAGAGAACTTTTCTGGAACCCCAGGCCCTCAAAATAGCAGGTGTGTCCGTGAGGCAGATGCTTGTACCTAGGTCTTAGTCCCAAATCCCGTGAGAATCCCATCTAAGTCCCTCTTAGCTCTCTTTGGCCTTTGGGAGCCTTCAGACTGGGGGCTGGATTTAGCACAACTGTCAGCCCCGGGCACCTTCCTTCCTCCGTTTCTCTGTCCTTCCTGTTACCTCCCCTTAAGCTTGAGCTGCCTTAGCCAAATACGTAGGCTGGGAGGCTTAAAAACAGAAGTTTATCTCTCACAGTTCTGGAGGCCGGAAGTCTGGATTGGGGAACCCATGTGGCTGGGCTCCGGGGAGGCTTCTTCCTGGCCGGCAGCCAGCCACCTTCTTGCTGCGTGCTCACAGGGCCTGCCTCGGTGCCTGTGAAGAAAGAGGACTCTCTCTTCCTCTTCTTCAGTCCTATCAGCTTAGGACCTCACTCTCATGACTTCATTTGACCTTAATTATCTCCTAAAAGCCCTATCTTCAAATCCCATCACAATGGGTCTTAGGGCTTCGACATGCAAATGTGAGGGGACACAACATTCAGTCCATAGCAACCAGCTCAAATCAGTTAGTTTCTTGCCCTAAAATCATGATGGCTTTTCAAGAACTCCAAGAGTATGTCCCTTGTAATGGATAAACATCCAGAACCCCAAGGAATGACTCTCAGAGAGGAGAATTCCAGGCCATGCACGCTATGGCAGGATGGCAGCATCTTTGTGACAGAACCAACCCAGTCCTTCCCCTGTAGGACCCAAATTCCAGGCTCCATCCCTGTGCAAAGCCAGCACTTTGATGCGTGCCTCCTGGCTGTCAACTTAGTTCTCCTGGCCACCAGCTCAGACATTGGAGAGGGGTTGGGCGAGAGTTCTAGGCCTCACACCGCCTGTGAAGCAAACTCATTCCTGCCTGGGTCTCGGTCACCCACCCTTGCAGCACCACGTGCTTCTGAAGCTGGCTACCGATCAGAAGCACAAGGAAGCTTGTTAAGATCTCGGATCCCCTGGCCCCGCCCTTGAACCTTCCCAATGCCCGAGGAATCTATATATTTAACAACAGCTTCCTCACTACTAGTGCAGCTGGGTCCTCTGCGGTCCCCAGACCAGACAACCTGGGCGGCCCCTGGCAGCCTGGCCCCTCCAGGAGTGTCCTCCTGAAGCCCCTCGTCCCACCTGCCCCAGGGGTCCCCGTGACCTGCTGTCCCTCTCTCCCTACAGCGCAGCCCCCGCCGGGGCCCACACCTTCAGCCTGAAGCACTCGGAGCGCGTGCAGGTAGAGGTGGTACGTGATGGGCAGGCCGAGGAGGTGGCCACGAATGGCAAACAGCGCTGGCTCCTCTCACCGAGCACCACGCTGCGGCTCACCATGAGCCAAGCAAGCACCGAGGCCAGCAGTGACAAGGTACCTTGGCTGCGGGGCGTACCTCCTGGGAGCCGGGGCCACGCCAGAACGGAGGCAGGCTTAGTCCAGGGCTGTCCGATAGAAGCAGAATGGGAGCCACACGTGTCAGTATCAGTTCCCCAGTAGCCACATGACAAGAGCAAAAAGAAAGCAGTGAAATTAATTTTAATAATACATTTTACTTAACTCCATATATCAAAATAAGGTCGACCCTTGAACAACACAAGTCTGAACTGCACAGGTCCACTTACAAGCATATTCTTTCAATACGTATATTGGAAGAATTTTTGGAGATTTGTGACAATTTGAAGAGACATTTTCCTTTTCCTAGCTTATTGTAAAAATATGGTACATAATACACATGACCTACAAAATACGTGTCAATGAGCTGTTTATGTTATCAGTAAGGCTGCCAGTCGATAGTAGTCTGTTAAGTTTTAGGGGAGTCAAAAGTTATACACAGACTTTTGACTGTGCAGGGGGTTGGTTATATAATCAACTGCATTATCACTGCAACATGGTATCGATATAAAAATATTAGTGAACTAGCCTACATTCTGTTGTCCTGCAAGTCTAAATCTGGTGTGCATCCCACGCTTACAGCACATCTCAAATCAGACTTGCCATTTCAAGTGGCCCATACCCACCTGCAGCTGGGGGCTGCTGCATGCAACAGCTTGGTGTTAGAGCGTGGACTGATGGCCTCACAGGAGGTTAGAACTGTGGGCCACTCAGCGATGGAACAGAATCACTGCAAGTCACAGCCACAGATGTCTTTGGTCTCTGGGTTCTCTAGTTAATTATGAACTTCACCATGTGCCCCATGGCAGTGACGACGCTGGGTGTGATCCAAAGAAGACCATCTCAGCCCTTCCCCCTGGTTGCTTAGCAGGAGCTGGACATACACATGGCAGAGGTGGGGGCCCCACAGGCAGCAGAATGCACAGCAGGGGCACAGATAGGCGGGCAGCACCTGGAGGCCCTTTGAGAAGAGGGGAGTCACCTACCTAGTTGGATAATCTGGGAGAAATAGCCCACCAACCCAGAAGTGCTTCCTGGAGGAAAGGGTTCAGATGTTTGGTGAGAATTGGCTTGACAGGCCGAGAGGTGTAAGGCAGGGAGGGTGGCAGGCTTTTCCTGCCTGTGATCTGTGATCTCTACTCTTCTCTCCCTCCCACTGTGCCCCCTCTGCGCCAAGGTCACCGTCAACTACTATGAGGAGGAGGGGAACATCCCCATCGACCAGGCTGGGCTCTTCCTCACGGCCATTGGTGAGTTGGCATGGCTGTGGCCTGGGAGCCCTTGTGCCCCCGAGGCTGGCATTGCTGCCCTCTCAACTGCACTTGGGCTATTTTCAAGCTGCAGACCTGGCACTCGGAGCCCCTCTGAATAATGCAGGCCCGGGGAATGATTCCACACATGCCCAAGTCCTTCTGTGCCGGGGTGAGGAGCGTCCTGGCGGAGGAGGCACGCCTTGGTCTGCTGGCAGCTCACTGCAATGCCAGCGCCCCCATCCCAGGCTCTGTGAGTCAGAGAGGAAAGCCAGTTCCTCTGCAGCCTGTCCCCCGCAGCCCAGAGATGAGCTTGCCTCTCATAGCAAAGGAAACAGCCTGTCCACAAAGGGTCCTTAGCTCACCTAGTCCAAGCCCCTCATTTGACTCATGAGGACAGAGAGACCCAGAGAGGTTAGGGAACTTGTTCAAAATCACACAGCAACTCAGTGGCAGGTTGAGTCCAGAACTCAGGATTATCCCCCTCCCAGGTATTTTCCATTTTTACCGCACTCCCCTGCACTGGGTGCCAGGGCACGTGGGATGGGCTCTTCTGAAACTTGACTCTCCTGCAGTTGAGATATTTTATATACTTTTTCAATCTTTTAATCATATAATGTTTAAACCAGGAGGAAATTTCAAAGAGTCATTTTGTTTGTCCAGCCTTAATTGAACAGCGACAAGTTGCCACATGGCAGGGGGAAAGAACTGCCAGATATTGAGAATCAACTATATGCTGAGGGCTTTGAAAATAATAATGATATCTTCCATTTATTCAGCACGTACTCTGTGTCCAGGACTGTGCTGAGGGCTTTGAGGAGGAGGAGGAAGACCTGTAGGGCACCAGGCTCTGATACTAGATGTTTTACTGTCATGATCTCAATCTATCCTTACACCTATTCCAAGGATAGACACTATTATTGTCCCCATTTCCCAGATGAGGAAACCAAGGCTCATAAAAAGTAAAACAAATAAAAACATGTCTGAGTCCACAGCCCAGAAAGTGGTTTGTGAGGTGCCAAGTCATCTCAGTCACCTCACATCCTCCAGGGCTCTCAGAACTCCCCCCGAAAAGCAACTATTTCCCACGCTGGCCCCTCTTTCTCCAGTCCTGTGCTTTTAGCCACCAAAATAGGCTCAACAGCCATGCTCTTCTGCTTCTCAGCTTATTCCTAAATGTGCTTGATTGCTGGTCACCCTGTCCCTCTTTCTGCACCAAGGGGATGCCCAGCCTTGGGGTGGGATCCTCAGGAAAGCCTCAAGGGGTCTTGGCAGGTGGAAACCAAAGGTGCCTGAGTTGCAGCTGAGGTCTGACACACGTGTGAGCCTCCCACGCACACATAGCCCCCAAGTTGTCTCAGATGACGGTCCCTAAGGAAACCTAATCCCACGGAGACAGGGACACCTGAGGACACAGCAGGAAGGGCAATGGCCAGAGGCCTGTCAAATGAGGGTGATCCCAGAGTGCTGACTACACCATTGATACTTTCACCAAAGCAAGGCAGACATAGGATAGGTGGCAAAATAATGCACTAAAAGGGGGCAGGGCTGGACTTCTCCTCTCCATGAGAAGACTGTAAAGCTCGTGCTCAGGGGATGCGTGGGGGGGAGCAACGGGACGGAGACCCCAGGTCCACCCAGGATGAATGACCAGGCTCATCCTTCTGAGGTTCTGAGATGCCTTTGCTAAGCAATTATTTAACTGCCACCAGTTCCAGACGTTTAGGTTCTATGGGCCAGTAAAATGTCCCCCCACCAAAAAAATAATAATTGATGGTTGGCCAAAAATAACAGACATTAATAAAGCAACCTACTATCCATTATCATCATCGTCACATTTTAACACCTAAAAGAATAGGTGGTACATAATCTCAGAATACAGCCATTTACATCACAGAAATAAAGCTTTATGAAAACATCACCCTGTTGCCATGTTTCCTATTCCACCAGAAACACTGGTGAATATTTAGTTTCCCTTGGACCCACTGCTCTATCTGACCCCTCCAGGTCTTGTCTTCCCTCAGGCATCTATCCCAGGAGCCCTTGAGCTCCAAGACCTGAGTAATCATTCAGGGCAGCACCTCAGAGGCAGAACACCCTGTGATCGATGTCCCCCAAGGACACATATCTGATTCCATTGCAGTCTAGTTCTGTCCTGAGCCCACGCTGAGCAGCAAGAGCCCTGGCCTCAGAGCAGACAAATAACTTTAAGTTCCGGCTCTGCCTCTTCCAACCACGTTGTGACCATCACCCCTCTCATCCTCAGTTTTCTTATCTGCAAAATGGGGTTCACAGCATACTCCTGCACGGTGCTTACAAACACTTGATCGCATGGTGCATGCAAAGGGCCTGGCGTGGAGTAGGTGCTCAGTTGATGCCCTCTTTCCTTTTTTCCCTTCCTCTTGGGGTAGTCACACTTTTTCTCTGCCGGGGTGAAGTTGAAGAACCTTACTGTCCCTTGGTCTTCCTCCTAGAATTTAGGAACAAACCATGGTGCCCTTGACCAAACCGGGCCCTGGATCTTGGTCTCCATCCTGCCGAGCTCTTGCTGTATGACCTTGACAAGTAGCCACTGCCTCTAGACCTTTTTCCCTGCAGTAAATGATACCTCAGAGCCCACTGGTCCCTGAGGGCCTTCAAGGCTCCCTTAGGGCAGGTTTGCAAAGCCCTCCCTGTTAAGGGGGAGATTGGGTGGGGGAGGGGAGAATGGTCTCGCCCTCTTTGCTGTGATCCTGCCAATAGGCTCAATACACGTACATGAACCTTGAGCCTTTCTAGCACCAACCTGAGGACCTCACTCCTTGTGCCCCTCCCCAGAGTCTAGGATAATTGCCCTAGTTGGCTGTGGGGGAGAGAGTCCTTCCTCCCCACCACACCCGAGCTGCCCACTTAGGTAAGCAGGCTGGGCACCCTGCCACTGTCCAAGGGGGCCGGTGGCCCGCCAAAAAGCTTGTGCTTCTGTGTCAAAGCTGAGGCCTCAGTGTCTGGATTCCCAGGGCAGACTGCCTTGAACCCAATCCCAGTGACATTTCCCGTTAATCTGCCCCACACCCCAGGAGCCACCTGACACCTTGGGGCTATTCTGGGGATCTGCGGTAAGAGTCAGAACCTCTTGGAAATGTGGTTTGGCCCCACTGTCCTCTTCCTCCTTTCCCGGGAAAGGCAGGGCCATCCCAGGAGGGCAGAGCTCTGTGCAGCCCTGTTCTCCATCCCTTCAAAGATCATCCCACTGGAATCCAGTTACATTGGACACTGGGGGGAAGTGCTGAAGGGGAGAAGTCCTCCAGGATGGCCTCCAGGCTGAGGTGGGTTCTCAGGGAGGATGGAGAGGAGGGGAGCCCATTTCAGTTGATGGTAGAGGCAGGTCATGGGTCATAGGAGAAAATGCAAAGCGCTGGGGCAGGTTGGAAGGTGGGTGATACAGAAGCCCAGTTATGCAAGGCCAAAATCTTGTATCCGGAAGTCAGAAGAACTTGTCTGAATGTAGTAAATCCAGAAAGAGCAATATACGCGTTATTTATTTTTACAGAGATAGCCTCTGTAAAACCTTTTACAGGTTTGCTCACCTGTAAAAGGCCAACGGTATTCATTTCGTGGGCAGGTGAGGGGACAGGCTGGCCTTCTGAAACTGCTTGGTACTGTGTGATTTTTTTGCACTATGTGCAGATATTATACTGATACAACTTGTAAAGTTAAGAAACTCCTAAGGAAGCCAAGCACAATAAAGTGCTTCACAGTTTCTCTCCTGTGACCCACTTCTTCATGGACATACCACAGAAGCTGCCACAGGGCTGCCAGTGTGGGGATGTGGCCAACTCCTCTGGAAATGACCTTCAGGGAAGCAAGTCGTGGGTCTTTGAAGGCAGGCTTGGGGTTTGGAGACAGCCCAGGGCGGAAGTCAGCCTGAGTCAGTGGAGGCAGCAGCCAAGGGCAGGGGCCTGGGGTCAGAGCCCGGGTAGGACACCTGGTTCTGTGCTCTCTGGGGACAGCATGGTCACTACCCTGCTGGTGCCTGGGTGACCCCCTCAGTGTCTCTGGTGGGTGTGACTCCTCTCTGGGGGCACACAGAGGGAGTGCGCTACCACTGGCAAAGCAAAGGGTGCCCGCAGGAGAGCTTGCTGTCTTGAGAAACAGAGAGCGCTTCTTTACAAAGAGGCTGGGCCTGCAGCTTGTTTCCAGGGAGGCGCTTCCGGAAGCTGACCTGAGGCTGCACTCACTGGGGACTGCTCAGCTAGAAGGTCTGTGAAGGTCTGAGAGCCAAAATCAATATCGCTCCCCCATCTGAGCCTTCCGCCTCTTTCACAGCAGCTGGTGGTGTCCTTTTCCCTGCTTTCTCCCTAGAATCCTTATCCTGCACCAGCTTCCCACATCAGCCCAATTTGCTGACAGGTGACATCTGAGTTGGGGTTTGCTCACCTGTAAAAGGCCAACGGTATTCATTTCGTGGGCCTGGGATCTTGAGAGCAGGCACTGTGACCCCGTTGCCCACCGCTAGGTCCCCAGGCCTAGTGTGGGACCTGGAACACAGCAGCTGCTCCACGAACGGGATCAATGGGAGGAGTTGATCTAATCATACCTCACAACATCTAATGGACAGAGGTTAGGACACTGAAGTGCTGCCTTACCCAAGGACCAGGTGCCCTTAAAGCCCCCCGATACCTCCCCCTTCTGGACCCAAAAAAGACAAATTCAGTGCTGGGAGGGAATCAGGCTGTGGACAAAGGGAGGACTTGAGTGTCACCAGATTCAGGGTGAGCCACCCGCCCAGGGAAGAAGGACACAGTGCCCTTCCTGTGCCAGGACTGTCCTCCCCACCTGGTCCAAGGAGAGGGCACGCCTGCCAAGGGGACTGACCAGGAATGCATTCCCACCCACCCCTACCTTGATCCAAGTCATGCTCAGTGTGAGGCCAAGCCCACTGGGCGGTTCCAGGGCCGGAACCCAGCTCCTCTCATCCTGTGTGACCCTCCCACCACCTTCCCTTGTCCCGCCTTGTTAGTCGATCACCCAAGGGACATTTGGCAATATCTGGGATGTTTTGGTTGTCACAACTAGGAGATACTACCAGCATCCAGTGGGTAGAGGTCAGAGATGCTGCTAAACGTCTACAACACACAGGACAGCCCCTCACAACCAGGAAGTATGTGCCTCCAAATGTCCATAGCACTTGCTGTCACAATGAATGCAACTCCTCTGACTGGTAAAGGACCCCATTTTGTAGGTAAAGAAACTGGGGCTCAGAGAAGCTGTCTAACCTTCCCCAAATCACACAGCTTATAATGAGAGAAATAGGGTTTGAACCCAGTACTGTCTGACTTTAAATCTTGAGCTCATTTCTCTGCCCCACACAGTCTCCACGAAGCCTGTCCCCGTGGCAGGCCTAGGTATACTGAAGTTCCTTCCCCAAAAGGAAGGATAAAGAGGACCTCTGGGTCCTCTATCTGGTGGCCTGGCCTCTCAGGCACCCTCAGATCAAGAGAGGTTGGAGACTCAGTTTTCCACCCAAAGTAAAGCCCTCAGACCTTGGAGGTGGGCTCTAAATCACGGGAAGTTCTGGGGGACACACACCAACGTGCATGTGCACCTGCCTGAGACAGACTAGGAAAGGTATTTAGGGAATCCTATGAAAGGTGTTAAAATCTGACTTCGCATCACACCAACCACAGTGTGCTCCAGTTCTGTTAATGCCACCTGTGTGACCCTGGCCATGTGACTTGGCCTCTCTGAACTGAGGCTCCAGATCTATACAGTGAGGCTCACCCCTCCCCCACCCAGAAGTGACTGAGGAACCGGGAAGAGGTGGGGGATCCCTGACCTACCTGACAACATCTGTCAAACCCCTAAGCTATGCCGTCTGCCTGCTTCTCCATCAGGCAATGGGGTGATGAGGCAGGGGGCTGGATAAGATGACCTCAGCAAGGCCCTGCCCTTCCAGGGACCAAGCAAATGGATGAGCTACACCCACATCCCATAGGTCTTCCTCCTGTGTGTAAACACACAGCAACTCACCCGTGTGTCTGTCCCCAGAGATCTCCCTGGATGTGGATGCCGACCGGGACGGCGTGGTGGAAAAGAACAACCCAAAAAAGGTACCGAGCTACCAGCGCAGAGGGCCCGGACCTGACTTGGGTGGGGGCTGGATCCTGCAGGCAGCCAAGGTCCTCCCGCCAAGCCCAGGCAGCTCTCATTCTACAGACGAGGAGGCTGGGGCCCGAGACAGGCTCCTGGACACAGCACACCAAGGACCGAGCCCACAGAGTAGCCACGTTCCCACACAGGAACGGCCACAGAACAGGCCCCTGAGGCTGCTGCCCTAGCCACAGGATGGGGCGCCCCGTTCATGGAGCTGCTGGAAAGGATCAATGTCCTGTCGCAGTGGAAGTACTGCCAAAGCATTTGCTCTTAGTAGTTTACCTTTGTTTTTTTAACCAAGATGGGAAGACCATCAGAAGTTGGCAATAGTCATTGTCAGTTCAAGGCATGTTATCTTTAATGGTGCACACACAACCCCTCTCCTGTTTTTATTTATTCATTCATTCATCTGCTCATTTATTCATTCTCTTTTACCCTGTTTTCCCCACTGCCATTCAGCTCCCCGACAAAGGACCATTTTAATGGGGTTAATATGTCTCTTTCTGTTCTCTCTTATGATTCTTGCGAAACATGTGGTGTGTTGGTGTGCATGTATTTTTAACTTGTGCAGATAGCTTGTAGTCTCGATTTCATTCTGTTTTGTACTTTTCCCTCAACCCAGTTTTGAAGCTCTGGTGGTTTTACTCTATGTACATCCAGGCTGTTACTTCTATTTTCCACTTTCTGCCCTTCTGTGTCACTTAAATTTTATATGCCCATGGGCATATGTTACTTTTACAATAACAACCTAAAGCCTGGTTTAAACTATATGTAGATAGATATTTTTAAAAGTTTAATAAATACAGCCCAGTGGGAAGCCTGGGGCCCTGCAGCCAGTCTCAAACTCTGAACATGGCCAAGGGGGTCTCAGGTCTATTGGGGACCCCCTTCCCCAGTCCTCAGTGGCACTCTGCCCCAGCCCTGCCTTCCTCAGGCAGCTGGCGCAAGAAGACGCCGAGTCAGCCTTGCACATATGTTCTTCATGTCCATGTCCAAACCATGTGACAATAGGCTCCATGGAGCCTCTGGGGCATCTGTCCTCCCCTGAGGAGCAGCCCTGGTGAAGTCACACAATCCCTGTGGTCATGGCCTTACCCAGACTTTCTCCATCCGGGCCAGTGACATTTCATATTTTCTTCACTCATCCCATAAATACTGTTAAAAGCCTTCTTATTCAGGACTGGGTCAGAAAGCACAAGAGGAGCACAGCTCCTGCCTTCAGGGAGCCCTCCGTCGAGTGGGACAGACCACATTAAGTAAAGAATGACATGGGTGGCCACAGTTGTCCCAAGTCCACCCCCCAGAAACGTGTACAGTGCCAGTAGCGTAAACCCAGGGAAGCTGCTCCAGTCTGAAGAATCAGAAAGAAGGGACAGTCGGTCCTGCTGCGAGCAGGAGTGGAGTTGTCCTGGTGAAGGGAGCCAGGACAGCACTCCTGGCAGAGGGACCAGGTGGGCGAAGGCCTGAGAGCTGGGACGGAGTGGAAAGGTGGCTAGTCTCGGGGAACAGAGTGAGAGAGGGGGAAGGTGGAGGGCAACAGGTGGAGAGGTGGGCAGGTCTCCCCCAGGCTTGCAGGCCACGGTGAAGGATTGAGACTTAAAGCAGGAAGCCCCCTGACAGGACTTAGAGCAGGAAGGCAACATGGTCTGATTGGAGCTTGTTCTAATATCACTCTGGCTGCAGTGTAGAAAATGGATCGCCCTGCAGGCCCCATTTGGAGCACTCAGAGCATGTCTGGCCACAGCTGGGTGTCTGGCCATCCAGGCATCTCCCCTGAGCCCTTCGCAGAATGTCTGCCTGCTCATTTCCCTGGCCCCCTCTGTCTCCCTGCCTCCACGCTCCTCTAGGTGCAGGCACCCCAGACATGAGGCTCGTAACTGCCCTGCTCAACCCTCCTGTATGTGTCTCTGCCTCTGTGCCCCTCCTGCACTTGCCTTTGGTGCTTCTGCTGACCCCCTCCAGGCATCAGACGCGGGATTCACGTTTGCCCGGGCATGGCTGCCCCGGAGGTGGTGCCTGCTCTTTATCCTCATCCTCAGGCTATCTCTCTGGCCTCCTGTGGGGTCTGCACACCAGCTGGGGATATCTGCCAGGAGGCGGGACAGAGGGCACTGACCTCTCTTCCTGCCAATGTAGGCAACCTGGACCTGGGGCCCCGAGGGCCAGGGGGCCATCCTGCTGGTGAACTGTGACCGAGACACGCCCTGGTTGTCCAAGGAGGACTGCAGTGACCAGAAGGTCTACAGCAAGGAAGGTGCCACCGGGACCTGCATTTGGGGTTGGGGGCAAGGAGGAGCATGGGAATACTCATGGGTGGAGGGTGAGGCGGGGATGGTGGCCTCAAATATCCACCCTTGTTGAAAACAAAACTATCAACATAGTTCAGTTGGAACCATGTTTTTTAAGTGACATGTATGTAGAAGAAGAACTGGAAGGAAATTCCTGAAAGGTTATAGGAAGTCCTCTGTGGTGGTAAAGATGACAACCAGTTTTTATGTTTCTTTGTAGTTTCCATAATAAACATGTGTGGGGTTTCTCTGTCCTGATTAGAAAAGTAACCGCCATTTGTGAGCCACCATTCCAGCTGCAAATCTTTTAATTCTGTCCTCCTCCTGTGTCCACCCGCCAGACCTCAAGGACATGTCCCAAATGCTCCTGAGGACCAAAGGCCCGGACCGCCTTCCTGCCGGATATGAGATAGTTCTCTACATTTCCATGTCGGACTCGGACAAAGTGGGCGTCTTCTACGTGGAGAGTGAGTGACCCAGCCCAGCCCTTGGGCCATTCTGATCCATCCAGCGCTCACTGAGCTCCCCCTGCTGGGGCCCAGCTCTGCCCTCTGAGGTCCCCAGACCCCTCCTCTTAGCAGTCAGGTCCCCACAGGTACAGGTTACTGGAGAGAGCCAGGATTGCCCTCTTGGTAGTAGTACCGGGAGCGCCATTGTCCTGTGAAGTCAGGTGCATGGGATGAATCTCTTCCTCCCTCCAAGGAGCTGGGAGTGACGTGGGTTTATGTAGAACCCCGAGGCCCTTCTTGCCCATGAACCGGAGGAGAAAGGGTTTTTAAGGTCCGTCTTCCCTGGAGTCATGTCATCTTCAGGTTCCGTGAGGCAGGTACCCGGCTCCTCCAGGTGTTTTCAGCCCGTCTCAGATTTTCTGGAGCTGAGAATGCCTCTGACTTTTAAAGAGCCCCTGATGATGCTGTGGGCACCCGCAAGGAGCTGACCCCTTGCTCCTATTGACAATGACAGGCATCTGGGGCCCCCACTATGTAGGGAACGTGCTTGAACCCTGGAGCTAGTCCACATAGCTTCCTGCTCTGTCTCTGTTTTGTAAATGACTGTTGAGCCTCCTCAGTGCCAGGCACTGTTCTGCAATCACAGCCTGCCCCCCAGGAGGTGACAATCTAATAAAGAAGACATAAAAGGTAGCAAAATTGGGGGGGGGAACCCAGATAAGTAACAGAGAGAAGCAGGGGCAGAGGTGAGGCCCCACCAGCCAGGGTGCTCCAGAAAGGTCTCTCTGAGCAGGTAACATTTGAGCTGAGACCCCAGTCAACATTGAGGAGGAGCCAATCATTCCTGGGCTGAGGGAAGAGTGTTCTAAGTAGAGGGAACAGTATGTATAAAGCCCAGAGGAGGGAGCTGGCTTGTAGCATTGGAGGAGCAGAAAGAAGACCCAGGGTGGAGCAGGGGGAGGGGTGTTGGATTCAAGGTCAGCAAACTGGGCAGGGGCCAGGGCATGCAAAGAGGGCTTGGATTTTATTCTGAGTGAAGTGGAAAGCCATTAGAGGGTTTGAAGCAAAGGACTATTAAGATCTGATTTATGTATTCAAAAGCTCCATCAGCAAAATAGCTTTGCAATTGGCCATGATGCAGAGTGGAGGGCTTAGAATCTCCAGCGCAGCTCTGAGGCCCACCTCTGAACAGGCTCACTAGAACCAGCACAGTCAGCATGAGGAGTTGGTCCCGGGGCCCTGGACCCTCAGCTCAGGGAGTGATTTAGCCAGGACAGCAGCGGGGAGCTGCCATCTGAAGCCAGTTCTCCTTCTGACCCATCCTGGGCTCAGGCAGTGACCTCACACAGGTTGGAATGTCCCCCAAGACAGGCCGGCTCCACTGCCCCAGGGGCCAGAGATGTTGATATTTATCCCCACCAGGCCAGGGTTGCCACAGGGAATGGGGCTGCCAGCCAGGGCTGGAGTGGCACCAGCAGGACCTCCCCCTGGGCTTCTGGACCATGGTATCGAATTGTGAACATGACCTGTTGCTAGTAGATACCTGGACGTTATCTAGAGGGTTCTTTCTGTTGATAGGAGTGGATTGGTGTCTGGCCCTGCGATCACATCCCTCCCCCTCATTTGCCATCTGAGATGGGTCCTGAGCAGGCGAGGAAAAGAGGAATATCACCCTGGCACCTTGACACACCATTCCCCAGTGTCTCTTCTGGGCTGCCGTCCTGCAGGGGGGGAGGTACTGACACAACCATGATCCCAGAGTAGTCAGTTTCCCACAAAATGTGAACCCCTGGGTGAAGACTCTGCACACACTGAAGAACAGCGTGAAAATCATCAGGTGGCAGTTTCCTTTCCTTCCATGCAAACATTTTGGGGTTTTGTTAAAATCCGAAAGTACACCTGTGGATGAGAATGTGTTGTGTCACATGAATGTCATGTGTCACCTGTGTCCCCCAAGGGCAGGAGGCTTGGCTGGAGGCCAAAGGGCCCCGACAGGGAGCCCAGAGGGTTCAAATCCTGGATCTGGGCAGATCTACTCACTAACCCATGTCTTGGGTTCCTCATCTGTGATGTCACGTGGGGATGAGGGGCCTGACCGTCCCCACCAGGGATGAGGGGTAAATGAGGCACATGCTCCAGGCACTCAGCCTAGTAGCCAGCCAGGGACCACACTGGATAGATGGCGCTTGGTGGGATCATGAGTGTGATTATTAATTATAACCATTAATTAATAAACCAGACATCTCCAGCGCTGTTAGGAAGGCTCAGATGTCTGTATTCCAGCCTCAGATTCTGCCTCAGGATCCCAAAGTTGGGGCCTGACCTCTTCCTACAGGGATACAAGGACCACTTTGTCCCAGTTTGCCCAGAACTTTTCCTGGTTTTAGCTCTGAAAAACCCCTATCCTGGGAAACCCCTCAGTCCTGGGCAAACTAGGACATTTGGTCACACTATCAGGGAGCCTCCTTGGGAGGTGGAATGGCTCCAAAGTGCCCCAAAGTCTTATGCCAGACCATACCGGGTGCCAGCGGCGGAGCCAGTGCCTAGGCCAGTGCCTGGGGCGAAGGGGAGGTTAGGGTGACGGCAGCCCAGCCCAAGGCACGCGCACCGCTCAATAGAGGGGCATTGTTGATTTCTGCATGGAGAGCTGGTGGCGCTCAGGCGGGCCAGCACAGAGCCAGGGCTGGGGAAGGAGGCCCCTAGGAACAGTGGTTGGGTTGTTCCCACCAAGGAATCAATCCGCCTGGAGCTGGCCAAGCTACCAGAAAGAGAGATGCATGTAAATTACAGGCCATGGAGGGAGAAAACTGATGCCGTTTGGGAGGAATGTATACTTCCACCTGATCCAGCCCCCTGGCAGACCCCTCCCCTCCGCACACCTAGATGGAGCCCTGCCCCCTCCCAGCTGCCCAGAGCCCTGGGAAAGGTTTGGAGCTTTCTGCAAAGACAAGTCAGCTTCTAGGCCTGAGATCTCTCCCCTGAGCATCAGTTCAAGTTCAGCCTGGGGCATGTGAGGAAGGGAGGAAGAGAATTTTTTAATTGTGCAGATCTGTCTGGGTCTACTCAATGACTGGAACACGGGGCACACCTTTTTGTATCTGGGTGAGAAGGGCTTCGCCTTCTGTGTCAGCCTGTGATGAGTCCTTGAGACGTTCACCATCTGAGGCTGTCTGCTTCATTTCTTGGGCCCACCCAAGAGGAAGTGAGGGGAGGCATTATTCCTTTGTGTTCTGGTCATGAGCCATTCAGTGAAAAGGTCCTAAGTTTTGCAGTAAGGGGTGTGTTGACTTACTATGCACTGTCATAAAAGTAATATCAAGGGGTTCCATCAGTTATGTTACCAGTGGTTACCCATGGTTACAGAGCTTGTCTAAGTTACTGAGGCTGTGTCATTTTATGTTGCAGTGGCCTCATTTAACAGATGGGTAAATTGAGGCTCTGGGAGATTAAGTGAATTCTCTTTGAGGTTTCACTGCTCGTCAAGCCAGGGCAGTCTTTGAACCCTGGCCTCTCTGATTCTGGAAGTCATAACCACTAACGTTATGCCCTCCGCGAGATATATAACTAGGGTCTTATTGAGAACATTCTCCTACATGAGGAGACATCCTGAGTCTAGGTCTCAGTGGTTCCTCCATTCAATCTGCAAGTTTTAATCAAGCACCCTGTTTCCGTCAGCCCTGTTCTGGTTATATGTTCTAACCCATGGGTGACTGGTCATTAACCATTACCATCATTGTTGACAATAGTGCTGAGCTGAGCCTGATTCTGCCCTTTCAGCTCTGCAGGGCATAAGGAAACTCCTTCTGGAACTACATAGGGTCCTACCTCCATGCCTTGCCAATGCAAGTATCTCCTCCTGGCACCCTGCCTCTGCTGCCCCGAAGGGCATCCCTCTGCTCCAGTGCTTGCCACCCTGCTTCCCTTCCCTTCCCCTCCTCACCCAGTAACCTGAAGGATCTCTCACCTCATAGCTCTGTTATGACACTTCCCACAACCGCATTTATCTGATCTGAGCACTGCCCTTAAAGTGCTGCAGTTTGACCATCTCTGTCTCCCCCAGAAGTCCTTGCCCGTGCTGGTCACAGCATAGTAATTCAGTACATGTGTTCTGAACTGGCCTGGAAATTCCCCCATTGGGAGTGGGTGGGAGCCACTGGTTCATTCGTAGACATTTATTAACACAACCAGCTGGGCCTATCTCTGTCCCCTCACAGGTGACGGTCTCTCAGGGCCAGCAACTAAACACTGAGATCACATCCATTTAGAAAGTTATGGGGAAGGACAGGGGGCCTCAGAAGCTCGAGAGCCCCTGGCTTGGTCTCGGGGCAGATGGCAGGGGTGGGGTCTGGGCACAATTCCCAGACGTGACACAGATCAAGGCCTAAAAGAAGAAGGGAGGCAACTGTTCCAAGCAGAAGGACAACACTGAGAAGAGCTGGGAGATTTCAGTGAGGCAGGAGTGCTGGAGAAACCTGCCTTTCCTCCCAGCCATGAAAATGTACAGCTAGAGACCCAGGCATGGGTCTTTATGCCAAAATGGCTTCCGTTATATAGAAGGGAATTTTTGGTACAAGTGGGCACATTAGTGTTATACTTACATAAAGGGGAGGGGAGCTTGGTATTCAAAATGAGACCTGAATTTGAGTCCCAGCCCAGCCACTTACTGGCTATATGACCTCAGACAAGCCATTTCTCCTTTCTGAGACTCGGTTTCCTCATCTGTAAAGTAGGAACAGTAATCCTTCCTCAACCCACTAGCTGCTCAGTTATCATTTGCTATCCTGTGTGCCATGCCTGGGAGAGTTAGCTCATTTCATAGACAAGGAAGCCAGAAGCCAGAAGTGGTCTGGTTCTGTGCCACACAGCTAGCACACAGCAGTGCTCGGACAGTGACCAGGCCACAGCCCTTCTGGTGGCATTTTTCTGCTTGTGCTTTTCTCTGTGTCTAAAGGACAAGCTACCCTTCTGTGTACCATCAGTGACCCACCACGCTGACCTCTTCCTGGTGGGGGTGGGGGCCTGATACTGGTCCTTTTTCCTCCAGACCCCTTTTTCGGCCAGCGTTATATCCACATTCTGGGCCGCAAGAAGCTCTACCATGTGGTCAAGTACACGGGCGGCTCTGCGGAGCTGATGTTCTTCGTGGAAGGTCTGCGTTTTCCCGACGAGGGCTTCTCAGGCCTGGTCTCCATCCACGTCAGCCTGCTGCAGTATATGGCTGAGGTGAGAGCCCCAGGCCTCCACCATGAGGGGCTGCCCCTGGGGGCTGGAAAGGGCTCCTTCCAGAGGGCCACTCCCAGGAGCCCCTGCTTGTCCCACCTCCCTCCAAGCACCCAGGGGGACTGAGGCTAGAGACCTAATGTCCCCCACTACCCACATGTATCTGCCCCACTACCCACATGTGACCTCTGAGCTGTGCTCCAGGGACCTGCCTCCTTACCGCACCTACTCCCCAGGATTCTCTACAGCTAAGGTTTTCTGACATCCACCAAGCCTGTCCCCGGTCCACCCTCCCCCCTGTAGTAGTATGGGCCTAGGCCTAAGGCACGGAGACCCAGTGGTTAGCGCAAGGTGCAAACTAGGCCACACATGTGAGGTTTATTGACTCCTGGTTCTTCGTTCCCCAGACTGACCCCTCATGCTAGCTGTAGGTTATATCAACTCTAATCACAGGCCAAACGCCAAATCCCAGTCCCAGGTCATGGTCCCACCCTGTAGCCAGCTGTCTCACCCACCTTTGCTCTTGCTTTGGAAAAACTAGACAAGAAAGAGTGCCTGCCTTAGAGGAGGCACCCCTTTCACTTAGGGTGTGTCCTGCCCACAAGGACCTCTCATGACAAAGACTGCAGTCCCAACACCTGCCTGCCTCTCCAGCCCACCCTACTTTGCTCAGATACAGAGAGGGACCTGGCTGCCCTCCCAGACACAGGCTTCCTCCCCATGCTCTTCCCTGGGCCACTCTGGGGCAGGACACAGCTGGCTCCTTAGAAGGTGAGCCGGGGTCTAGCTCAGACGTGTGAGAATGGGCTCTGGAGTCAGATGGCCCAAGAGTCAGGCCGCCCAGGTTCGAGCCCATGAGACGGTGGGCAAGTGAATTCACATCTGGTACCTTCGTTTCTCCATCTGTAAAGCAGAGACAGCAAAAACTTCTGCTTTCTCGGGTGGTTGTGAGCATTCAAACTTGTAAGAACTCATTCACAAAGCACCCTCAAGCCCTTGGGAAGAGGAAAAGGCAGAGCCACAGGATAGGCGGGGAGGAGGCTTCTCCTGCTCCAATGTGCCTGGAGCAGCCTGGCCGTCACGATCCCTCCGTCAGGCCCCTCCAGTGAGCACCAGGAGAAACTCGAAAGGCCAGACCAGCCGAGCCAGAGTCCTACCCCCACCCTCCCTCACAAGGACAGGGGCTGGCTTCCTGTGGCTCTTCAAAGCCAGCCCCACAAATGAACCCTGGAACTGTATCTCATATTCCCTTAGGTTCCAGGCACGCTTCCTGGACCTTCCATTAAAGAGCAATCTGAACATAGCAAAATTTTCCCAAGCAACATTAAAGTGCTCACACATAGAAAAGGGCAAGGTACCCAAAGCCAAAACCGAAGGGCTGGGCTGGCTCAGCCGTGACGTGGCCGATTTCAGGAAGAGAACTTTGATGGGACAGATCAGACAGTGATTAAAAGTATGGGCTCAGCAGCCAGACCATCTGGGTTTAATTCCAGGCTCCACCAGGTACTATTCGTGGAACCTTGGACAGCTACGTAACAGTTCTGTGACTTGGAGGTCTGTGACTCAGTTTCCCCATCTATAAAACAGGAATTATATAGTATATACCCCTGGGACTGTTGTAAGGCAGAAATGAAATGGTTCATGTAAAAATACTTATCCCAGAGCCTGGCACACAGTAAGCGCTCAATAAATGTACTATGGTATCAGTTTCACCCACTTTGGAAGGCAGGAGTGGAAAACACCCTGATGAGATTTTTGATGCCCTCCCCTTCTCTCCCATGCCTAGGAGATTCCCCTGACACCCATCTTCACTGACACCGTGAAATTCCGTATTGCTCCATGGATCATGACCCCCAACATCCTGCCCCCCGTGTCGGTGTTTGTGTGCTGGTAAGCAGTGGCCATGGCACAAAGGCAGTGAGGCAGAGTGACCTAAGCTGGGGCTTCGGGGCAAACAGACCTGAGTTCAGATCCTGGCTTGTCACTTACCAGCAGTGTGACTTTATGAGCAGCTAACACCATGTGAGTGGCTGAGTTTGCTTGGCCCTTGACTCCAGTGGCCTTTGCAAAGGTGACTGAACACAGATGTGGCTCATCTGCTCAGTGCAGCCCAAAGGTGCCAGCTGCTATTGGTATCTTCTCACCCTTCCTCTTCCCTAACTTCTCAGCATGAAGGACAACTACCTGTTCCTGAAAGAGGTAAAGAACCTGGTAGAGAAAACCAACTATGAACTGAAGGTCTGCTTCCAGTACTTGAACCGAGGTGACCGCTGGATCCAGGTGAGGAAGCCCAGGCTGGGAAGGATGTGGCCCAGGGGTCAGGCAAGAAGAGCTGGCTTAATGTCAGTAGCCTGGCACCCAGCAGCTCCATGTATGGGAATTCTGCTGTCAGACCATACGTGCAAGTGTGCACAGAGACTTAATGCATGAGCCAATTCACTGCAGTGCTGCTCGAAAAACAACCTAAATGTCCATCCATGGGGGGACTGTGTGACCATATGATAGAACAGCCTTACCATGGAGTACTATACAACAGCTAAAAAGAAGCCCATTTATAAATACAGAACACACTTCAAGTTAAGGTCTTACAGGAAAATAACAGGATATTATCAATTATGTTTTTTAAAATGGAATTGATATGAGTATAGACATGCTTGGGATGTGCAGAGACAGAGGAAGGGTATGTAAAAAACCATTGCCATCATTTGCTTGTGGGGAGGAGAATTGGGGAGGTTGGCTGCTGTTCACTGGTGGCCCTGTAGGCTCATCTGACAGCTCTCCTTGGTGTCCTCAAAGGATGAAATCGAGTTTGGCTACATTGAGGCCCCCCACAAAGGCTTCCCTGTCGTACTGGACTCCCCCAGAGATGGGAACCTGAAGGACTTCCCAGTGAAGGAGCTCCTGGTAAGATGCCGAGGGCCGCCATAGGATGGAGGGGTGTGATCCTAGGGACTACTCCTACAGGGCAGAGTAGTCAGGAGACCTTGGCACCCTTGGCAAATTAGTTTGTTGCATAGGGCCTCTGTCTTCTCATCTGTAAAGTGGGTCAGTTGGGATAGTGATCTCAAAGGTCCTTCCTGCTCTATAACTGATACTTTCCCAAAATATGGTGATTTTTCTCTTGGGAAATAGGAAATAGGAGCGCTGAGTTCAGCCACTGTCCCACCTCCAGCTTACAACAAGTTTCAAAGAGGAAAATTATGGTTAAGTAATTGTCAAAAATCATGGTTCCAACTTCAAAGCTCATTAAAGCTGTGGTATTTAACTCCTGGGTTTATTTTAAAGTCATCTAACCATACACCCCCACCCCCAGTCTAGAGGCCATTGCCACCCCGTTTTATGTCCTCAACAATGGACTGAATCAAAGCAGACTGGAAATCAGTCCCTACCTTCCACCTGTAAGAGGCAGGGGGAGGCTTAGAGCATAAAACAGAGACCCAGAGTAGGTCAGAGGACTTCCCCAGGGTCATATGCAGGGCAGCCTCCCTATGAGATATCAGGGATGCTCAGAGGGGACCTGCTTCTTGAGACCATTCCCTAACCTAGTCCCCTCATCCCAGGGAGGTGGTAGAGCCAATGGTGTGAGTGCAAAGTTCTGAAATGTCAGAGGGACATGACCCTGAGTCCAGGTTCTACTCCTTAGCAGCAATATAACCTTGGGCAAACAGCTTAACCTTCTCAAGCTTCAGTTTACTCATCTGTCAAATGGGGGTAGAAACAGTATTCATAGCACAGGATTGTTGTGAAGATCGACAGCATTATATAAGGCATCCATGCCATGCCTGATACAATGACCATTAGCTGTTGCTGTAATTATCATGCCATGGCCCTGGACACTGTCCTTAGTGAGGGCTGTCTGCTTCCTCCAACACTGTGAAGGGTAGAGTTAAACTGGCCATTGGAAGGGTTGCCACAGGTATGAAAAACAAGGCCTCCCAGATCCTGCTCTCTCTTCCCAAGTCACCACCTGCCTTCAGTGCTCCAGGTTGGCCTGGTTCCAAGGCCCCAGGCTGCATTGTTCCTGGAGCCAAGCCTGGCTTTGTGCTTCGTGCCTGCCTGCCTGACTGATGCTGTAAAACCCCAGCTGCCCAGCCTCCAATAAATCTCATCTTGCCATCTGGGGCTCCCAGGCGAGAAAGCGCTAAGCTTTGGCCATCCACCACATTGGGCACGGCTAGTACTTGAGCCTCTCAGCTGGGCCAGGATAAGCCACATCTTCCCACTCCACGTTTTTTTCAAACAAGGTTTCTTGTCAGACAAGCTTAGTCTCAGCCCCAGTGCAAGCTTCCAAGCAAGGCTCCTACCTTTTTAACCAAAAAATCATTAAAGGAATCTTAAAATTCAAGGGGTCACTGGGGTTGTGTCATGTGGCAGCTCCAGTCTGTTGGAACTCTGTGCTAAGAAGGATTCTGAGCTCAGTGAACAAATCGGGTTGGTTGGGAATGAGTTGGGATGGCATCTACATTGTGTTTCTGCCACTCCTGAGTGTATTGGTCAGCTTTCACTAGGTAAGGCTGCAGTAACAAACAACCCCAAATCTCAGTGACTGACAACAGCAAAAGTCCATTTCTTGCTTAGACCCCATGTTGGTTGCCGGCTGTCTGTCTGCAGCTCTGCTTCCTCAGACCTTCCTCATTGTAAGGCCCAGACTGCAGGAGCTGCCCCAGTCTGGGAAATGCCATTCTCCTAACACAAAGAGGAAAGAAAGAGCAGGAAGGCATACACAGTGCATCTTATGGCTTCTGCTCTGAACTGGTACACGTCAATTCTGCTCACATTTCACTGGCCACAGACAGTCATATGACCAAGTCTGACGCTGGGCAGGGAAGTATATTCCTTCCACAGGGCAATAAGAAAAGGCATAAAACAATGGCTTGGGAAGCAACATTCTCTTACTGGGAAGGGGGTAGCAAGTCTCTGGGAACAATAATATAATCTACCAGGAGTCACCTAACCCAACACCTCTTTTACAGATGGGAAAGGGAGGGTCAGAGAAATTAAGAGATGAACAGGGATAAAATGAGGACTAATCCTAAAATCACTTGTGTTTGGGAAACAGACGCACACACAGAGACCCAGATACACACACACACACACACACACACTCATACACATTCCTTTGCTCCTATTCATGCCCATGCTTACACCAATGTGCTCACAAGTTCAGCTGCCCCATGCCAGGCACCTGCTCTATGGTGGGAATGAGAAGACCACAGGCAACCAACCCTCCAAGAGGCTAAGTGTCCACAGTGCCAGACCAAAGGTGGAGAAAGAGTGGTCACTATTGGGTGGCTGGGTTGGGGCTACGGACTTCTGGTGGCAGGAGACTAATGACAGATGTGTGCCCCCTGCCCAGGGCCCAGATTTCGGCTATGTGACCCGGGAGCCTCTCTTTGAGCCTGTCACCAGCCTTGATTCCTTTGGGAACCTGGAAGTCAGTCCCCCAGTGACTGTGAATGGCAAGACATACCCCCTGGGCCGGATCCTCATCGGGAGCAGCTTTCCTCTGTAAGAGAAGCCAGGATGGGACTGGGGGCAGTGGGAGGGGAGGTTACGATTTCTCTTTACAAATGGCCCTGGATATTCACACATGAAGTGATTGGCTGGGAGCATTAACCCCTCCCATGACTCTCTGATAAGATAGACACTCTTAGAAATAAAATCAAGTTGGCCTTTACATCTTAGTATGAATTAGAATCTAATATAAAACTCAATAAGTAACTTTTTTCCCAAAATGGGAGCGTGAGATTATAAAACAGGTGGAGGAGGGATGAAGGAGCCCAGAGAAGAAATACTGAAAGAGGATGAGTGGGTGTGCACCAAATCCTCAGGGGTGCCTGTGCACAAAAGAGACTCTGCCCTAAAGCTTGAATCCTGGCTCCCTGGCCTGTCCACTACACCCTCACTCCCTCCCCAAGTGACTCACCTGTCCATGAAAAGGCAGATTCTTCCTTGGTCAGAGCAGTCACTGGGGGAAAATGAGTACTCTGGGTCCTCACTTCACAAAAGGGCTGCCAAGAACCTGCACATGAGATCAGCCAGGATTTGGACACCAAGTTTCTTTGGTGTCCACCACATGGGAAGCTCTACCTTCTGGAGGGAGGCCACTGGCACACACAGTGACCAATTGCCCTGTGTTCAGCAGTCACTCATCCATTAAGCATTTATTGCCCAAGCACCACCCAAGTGCCAAGCCTTGTGTCAGACATGGGGTTCCAAACATGAAGCCCAGCTCCTCCTTCAAGGATATGGTGGAGATCAGACGTGAAACGGGGTGTTCAGTGATTGAAAGAATGATAGGGAGCCAGGGGAAACCAAGGAGGGGTCCTTTAACCCCTTGGAAAGTTCAGGGAGGGTTTCTTAGAGACAAATGTTTATTCTCTGTGCCAGGCATTGTTCTAGGCCCCCGAGATACAGTAGTAAGCAAAACAAGATCCCAGCTCTCGGGCAGTTTTCAATGAGGGGTTGGCGAAGTACAGAAAGTAACATGGAAGCAAGAAAATAAACTGAGTACTTCTGGGTGCTAATAAGCACAATGAAGAAGATAACATAGGATTACATGGCAGGGTGATGGGGCGAGGGCACTTTAGGTTCTTGGTTTTAAGGAGCTGCCTTTCAAATTGAGACTTGGGTGATGAGAAGGATGCAGCTATGGGAAGATCAGAGGGAAAGAGCACTGCATATAGAAGGAACAGCAAAGGCAAAGCCTTGGGTGTGGTAACAAGCTTAGCACGTGGTTGGAGCAAACAGAACAAGGAGAAAGGAAGGGAGATGAGGTAGAAGATTCAGGCAAGGGCCAGGGAGAGAGGAATTTATTGGCCATAGTAAAGACCTTGGGCTATATTCTAAGGGTAATGGGAAGATTGAGCACCTCAGGTAATCTAGAAGCCAGAAAGGGCTTCCTGGAGGAGGTGTCACTTGAACTGATTAAAGACTGAACTTAAGTAGAAGTTAATATATCAAAGAGGCACATGGGTTAGGGCAGATCCTGGAACCATGCCTGTGCCCTAGTCCCATCCAGCACTCCAGACAGGACCCCAGAACACAAGAGCTGGCCTCCTCACACCCAGACACCCTCTGGGGCTGAAGGCTGGGCTCCATGCCCTTTCCACAGGCCATGGCTACAGCTAACACGTCTTTCCCCCTTGGACTCAAACACCATCCTGCCTGTACTAGGGATTTTCAGCCCTAGGACTGTTTCCTTTTCTGTGACTTTTCTGCTGATGCCACTCTGGGTCTGGACTAAGTTCCAGTGGCTAAACTCCTGCAAGCCCTCTGGTGAGGCAGCCACAGTGGGCAACCTTCTGAAGAGCTGCCTCCTCCGCAACCCTGTCCCAGGTCCGGTGGCCGGAGGATGACCAAGGTGGTGCGCGACTTCCTGCAGGCCCAGCAGGTGCAGGCGCCCGTGGAGCTCTACTCTGACTGGCTGACCGTGGGTCACGTGGACGAGTTTATGACCTTCGTTCCCATCCCAGGCACAAAGGTGAGCGCCCCTGAGGCTGGAATAAATAGGGTAGTAGAGAAACCCATGGACTACTAGCTCTAGCCAGCAGAGAGCAGGATCTAGAGGAAGTGGACCACCTAGAGGAAGAAGGAAGTAGGCTGAAGCTGGTTCACATGTTGTCTGTGGTAGGTGAATTTTTAACCCAGTGTATCCCAAACCTTAGTATCTCAACATGTAATCACTATAAAAATTATTAATGAGAGATTTTACATTTCTTTTCATACTAAGTTCTTCAAAATCTGGTGTGTACTTTACTCTTAATAGCATATCTCAATTCAGACTAGCTGCAATTTAAGCATCCAATAATCACAGAGGCCTGGTGGCTACTGTATTGGCCATAATACTCTAGAGAGCGATGGGGTACAGGCTGGGGGCTCTGGAAAGGGCAAGAACTTCTTTCATTTTCTGAAGCGGAAGGAATGGCTGCAACTTTATACACTGGAAATTTTGTGCAAATTGTCTGGCCTCTTAGCAGCTTAGAGAAGCTCTTCCACTTTGTCCAAGGCCACTTATGACTCTGAGCTTTGACTCGATGTCATTGCTGAGGTGGGACAATTTCTGTATCAGGAAGGGTGAGCAATATTCTCATGAAACAGAGGAAGCCCTGCCTGGCAGCCTTTACTACTTGGCATGGGGAGGCTGGAGACGATCTGCCGACTCAGAGCAGGGGCTCCTTCAAGTGCTCCTTGGCCACTGTCCTCTGAGGACACTGTCCCACTGGACGGTCTCTCACAGGAATTCCGGATGCTCATGGCCAGCACTGCAGCCTGCTACAAGCTCTTCCGAGAGAAGCAGAAGGAAGGCCACGGGGAGGCCATCATGTTCAAAGGTGAGTACCCCTGGGGCCTTGGCGGGGAGCGAGTTGCTGAGCCCCCAGAGAGACCTCAAGAGGATGGGGCAAATGAGCACCAAGATGGTCCCTGAGCACCCAGCTCCACTTTCCTGGGCACCTGGACCACTCCAGGAATGTGAGGTCACCATGGTGGGAAGCAGCCCTGGCCTCTTGGGACCCTCGCTGTAGTCAGCTGGACCACGGAGTCGCCCACTGCTCCTCACTATCATCACGGGCTTCTTTGGGACTATGTATACTGTAAATGGCACCAGACGCAAAGGAGCATTCAATGGCGCAAAACTGATGTGCAGTCTGCATTCAAGGATCCTGTGTTTTAGAAAAGGAGGTAGAGAAGAATATACATGGTGCGGCTGAGGGACAGGAAGAAAAGTGGGAGTCGACAGACATGAGACACAGTCGGACATCACCACTGTCAGCCCCAGAGTGAGAAGTTATCTGCTTAATCCAGACATCCACAAACTGGGGCAGAGGTAGACTGAAATGAGGTTTGCTCTTAAATTAATCATGAGAAGAGGAAAAGCTGGTCAGGTGAATATAGTGAGACAAGTTAGAGAGACCCTGACAATTTCTTACACGTTTTTCTTAAATTACTTTGTGTCACTTTTCAGGTTGGTGTCTCCAACCTATCTGCTCCCAAAAGTCTGCGTTCCTAAGGCTGGTTGCTATTTACATATGTTACTATCCTCCAAACGCAAAAGCAGTGTTTCTGATCGTGAGTGGTGTCTAGGGCAGACAAGACCAATTTCAGACCACTGTCCTTTTCTAACCCCCACTGATGGGAAATTCTTTCTTAGATCAGCAAACGTGAGTCTTGACTTTCTGTGGGCTTCTTTCTGTATTAAACATAACCCCAGAGCTACCTATAGGATATAGGAGCCATTATCTTTTTACAAATAAGCCCAAGTGGTGGTGCAGAGACTGCTCAGGTCCAAGGTACAACCCCAGTCTCTATGCCACTAACAGGTTACAAGACTAGGAGGTACAGTGGACCAGCAGACTATTCCCAGGTCAAGCAAAAAATAAAAAGAATTAACAGCTTAGGCTCTAGAATCAATCTGCTTGGTCTGCATACGGGCTCTGCCACCAGCTGCAAGACCTTGGACAAGTCCTATGACTTCTCTGTGCCCCAGTTTCCTCATCTTTAATGCTAGCAGCCACATCACAGAAATGTGAGGAAGATTCCTGACCTAACCCATGTGAAACATCTAGAAGAGCACCTGCCACATAGTAGGTGCTGCTCAGCCTTAGAAGCAGGCTCCAGGTGGCTATTTGTGCCACTCTACCCTCTGGCCAGAGAGAGAGCAAGACAGCCACCATCCCTTCCCTAGCTCAAGTGACATGGACAACCCTGGAGAAAGGAGTGTGTACTGCACTCCTTGTGCAGAGGGGGCCTGGTTTCCCCCAGGGGTGCCCTCCTGTGCCCCAGCCCCAGCCCCTTCATCCTAGCAGTTAGCCTAGAAGCTGGGGACCCTGGCAGAGGGGAACACCCAGGCTGTCTACCTAAGGCTAGAATGTCCCCTGTCCTCTGACCCCCACAGGCTTGGGTGGGATGAGCAGCAAGCGAATCACCATCAACAAGATTCTGTCCAATGAAAGCCTCGTGCAGGAGAACCAGTACTTCCAGGTGAGGGGCGGGGGCTCACCCACTGCTCAAGGGCTGGGGCAGAGGACCTGGGGAGGGACGAGGCTGTGCCCAATGGCACCTCTCACATCCTTGGGGCTTCCATAGGGAATGGGCAAGGTGCAGGGCACATGACAGAGGGAAGGGCCTCGGTGAGCATTCAGTCCAGCCTCCCAGCTTTACTTCCGTGCTAAAGCTGCAGGTTAAATGGACTGAAAAAGGTGGATGTGCAGGTCAGCAGAGGCTAGAAGCAGACAGGAGACCTGGAAAGGGAGGCATGTCAGGCAGTGCTGAGGAGTCAAGGGTTCTATAAGGCTAGATTCCATATAGTTTGGGGGAGACACACCCCTTTAAAATATGATAAAATATGATGAAAAACTGGCTCCCAGAAAAAATGCATATATGAACACATGCTCTGAATTTTTATTTGTTTAAGGGGATCAGAGATCCCTGAAGTTTCCTATCTATGTATGGATCCCACCTTCTAAGTTCCTAAATCTCAAAGGTTGTATCCAGAAGTAGAAACCAGTTAACAGAGCCATATTTACTTGAATTAAATATTTCCTTAGTTGCATGGGCATATTTCAAATGTTTTAAATTAAAAAAAAAAAACAGGAAACTCAAACTGATTTAAATAAAATGGCATGATTGGCTCACATGAGTGGGAAGCCCAGCAGTAAATGGATTTCAGTCACAGGTTGATCAGGGCTCCAGCTCTATTTCTCTGCACTTCTTGGGCTCTACATGTGCCCTCATGGAAGGAGCATAGCTACAGTAGTTCAACGTCTCACATCCACCCAGGACACCATCCACAGAGAGGTCTTGTATGTCCCCAGCAATTAAATGAAAGTCTTACATTTCACTCTGTGCCAACCTGAACCAGTTACTGTGACCAGGGGAATTCCATACATTGATTGCCTTAATCCTGACTTACTACCCATCCCTGAGCCAATCACTGAGAGGTGGGGGCAAGGGCACACTAATTGGCTCTCTGTGACCATCTTCTTTCTTGTTCCCTTTATTACTACTGCTACTAAGCCCTGGGGAAGGGGCACTGCAGGCTGGCAGGGGCGGCCCCTCACTTGCCTGCCCTCCCTTCTTCCCCCTTGCCCAGCGCTGCCTAGACTGGAACCGTGACATCCTCAAGAAGGAGCTGGGGCTCACAGAGCAGGACATCATTGATCTGCCCGCTCTGTTCAAGATGGATGAGGACCGCCAGGCCAGAGCCTTCTTCCCAAACATGGTGAGGCATTCTGGATCCCCAAACTCATCCAGACCAATCAGAGGGCAGCTAGATGCTGAAGGACCTCTCGGCTGAGGCTGTCTGGTCAGAGGCCCAGGTCCCTGTTCTGGCCGAGCTTCTGTGTGGCCTCACCCACCCACCTCTCTGGGCCTCTTTCCTTCTTAGGGGTAATATGCTTATCCTAGCTGTCTCACTGGGGTCCTGAGAAATCCTTTGCCTTAGCACCTAGGAAGATGCTTTGCAAGTTAAATAGGCCTTTATGTACAGGAGGGATTCTTGTTATCATAAAGGAGAATCTTCCATGAGATAGAGGTTAGAACTCCCCACCACACAGATATATATATATATATGCACACATACACACAAACACGCATGTTTCCACAAATACACACATTCGTGCTCATGCACACACTGATACATACCTATAAAGCCACATGCATGTACATACACATACATGCAGAGGCAGGGTTCCTGATTTTCCATGTCAGCTCTGCCATGTATGAGTTGCTTAACCCCTCTGTGCCTCAGTTTCCTCATCTGCAAAGTGGGGATAATCACAGTACCTACTTCATAGGCTTGTTGGGAGGGTTCATGGAGCTTCGAGCAGAGCCAGGTGCCTACTGGATGCTTAGTGAACGGGAACTGGTGCCCCACCTCTCGCCACAGGTGAATATGATTGTCCTCAACAAGGACCTGGGCATCCCCAAGCCCTTCGGACCGCAGGTGGAGGAGGAGTGCTGCCTCGAGATGCACGTGCGCTCCCTGCTGGAGCCCCTGGGCCTCTGCTGCACCTTTGTCGATGACATCTCTGCCTACCACAAGTTTCTGGGGGAAGTCCACTGTGGCACCAACGTCCACAGGAAGCCCTTCACCTTCAAGTGGTGGCACATGGTGCCCTGACCTGCAGGGGTTGCTCTGTGCTGGCCTCAGCCTATCAGTAACCAGCGCTGTGGCTGGACCAGACCCTGTGGTTCTTACTATGATTGCAAAATGCCCTTTGGCAATAACCATCTGGAAATTTTGGGGGGGAAAGTTGATTACTTACAGGACCTTGAAATTACATGGCACACCTGGGGCCACACAGTGAGGTCATGGGAGAGAGTGTGCGCAGGGCTGGGTTTCCCCTTACTGGGGTCTAGGTTGGGGGCCTAGGGTTTCCAGGACTCGCTCTTTGTTAGTGAACTTAAAATGTAAGAACCAGAATTTAAAGCTAGGGAAGAGAAAAAACAAGCAGCCCGAATGATCATAGGTTGAAACCAATGAAGGGTTTTTAAACAAAGGGCCTTGCAGGGAGGGTGACTGTGCAGCCTACTCTTCTCTCTGGTTGTGTGGCTGGCAGTGTGCTTATTTGACATAGTGTCTTTGAAATGGGTGCCTCCATAATTGAAGCTTAAGTCAGGCACCTGCAATACAAAAAGAGGAAACCCAACTGTCAGGGCTGCACTACAGAGGCCTTGGCCTTCCATCCTTCCCTGCATCCTCCACACCCCTCCTGCAACCCCCCGCCTGACTGGGCTGGGCAGCCCCAGGCAGGGATTTGGGATATCTGTGCCTCGCCATCCCTCAGAAGGGCCTCCATGTCCACTAAAGTCACCCCCAGCGAGTCTCAAATTTGTCCTTGTTGAAAACAGCTGGACATTTGGCCAGTGTCTGTACAACCCTGACATGAAAAACAAAACACAAAACCACGTACCCAAACCATTCCCCAAAGAACCCTTAGCTTCTTGTCTGAAACTGAAAGGGACAAAGGGGAGGAGGCTCGGATCGCCAGTCCGCCCTGTGCCCCGATGGTCAAGACAGCCTACCTTCAACTGCCATCGCTACTGCAAATTCACCTCCCTTGGGGTGTCCAGGTGGCCGCCTGCAGTGATCCATTCCTTACCAGCCTCTCTCAAACCCCTTGGCTTTCTCTCTGCAGTGTAGACACCAATGGCTAGCTTTCCCATTCCCGGAGGGTCCAATGATTTAGCTGAGAACCTTCCCTGGAAACAGATTTTATCAGAGAAGCCTTCTCATTCTCAAGATGCTCCTTATGCCTCCTCTTTCTCATGGACACAAGCTCTCCCACGTGCTTGGGGGTTTCTCCCCAGACCAGCATCCTCGTGGCCTGAGAGATCAGCATGTGCAGATGCCCCGAGGTCAGCCATATCCATCTTCCCTTGTCCAGTCCTCAGTTCTCTGGCCAGTCCCAGACCTCTCTCCTCTCACGACCTCCCCGGCATCTATTCCTGGTGCCTTCTCTCCAGGCAACTACAAAAGGACTTCTTCACCACCAGCCAGCCTCAGACCTTCCCCAGGATATAATTAAAGACCTACACCTCCTCCCCAGATAGGAGACCCAAAACATAAGGCCCCTTGCCTAGCCTCCAGCCTGACCAGCCAGTTCTGGGCCAACCACTGGCCTTAGAGATAGATTGATTATCCCACTGAAGTTCACCAGTGCCTTTGCTGAAGACCCTCTCATTTGGACGTACCCAGATTAATTCCCTGGCTCCAACTGAAAAGATTCCACTTCAACTAAAAAAAGTTCCTTTAGGGCCAGTTGTCAGGAGAATAAGTGAATTACAATTCCACTTGGAGGGTTAAAAAGAACCAATTTATAACTTGTGGAAAGGTTATAAATTTGTATTCTTGGGAGAACGGGATTTTCTTCTTGAATTATTTTATTCACTCATTCAACAAACATTTGTCATGTGCCTACGAAGTGCCAGTCACAGTGCTGGGCCCTGTGGATACATCAGGCAACTGGACCTGGTCCCTGCCTCATGGACCAGTCAGTTCCCAACATGCAATGCCCATGTTTAAATAGCCAGCATTTGCCCTTTCCATGTGTGCTCTTTAGAAAGGCCAATCTACTATTATTTGGAAATGCACAGGGCACAGAGCTTCCTGTAAGTTACTGTCCAGGGAAACAGGAGGAGGGAGGGTCTTCTTAAACGGTCTCCTTCCCATCTAGCTGGGCCAGTACCCAAGAGATCAGACCCCAGAGCCTTCAGAAGCCGTATCTGTCCCCCACTGCCAAAGCCCCAGATCTCTCCAACCCCAGAGCTGGAGACACCAAGTGCCTATTTGAGGGTGTTTATGTGGAGACTTATTTAGAGTTTATCATGTGTGTGTGTTTGGTTAATGTGGGTTTTTGGACTTGCTTTCATTTTTTTTCTAGTCTGCCTTCAGAGGAAGTGAGCACCTCCCATGTAGAGATAATCTGTGTTTATAGGTTTTTCTAAGGCTCTCCCCTTCGATAAATCAGTCATTTCTGAGGATCCTGGATCCCCCACAACTCAGACCCCCATTCCCATCTTGCTTGCCCACCCGTGTGACTACCTGCAATGTGGACATTCCCCACCCCATGGACTCGTTGCTCTTCTCCTCCCACCACCTTCTATAAATGTAGGCCTCGAATACACTTCTGTGTTGCAAAACTTGGCTAAGTTCCTGTTTCAATCTTTATTTTGAAATATGTAAGAGAGTGGGGATGTTATGAAGATGGCAAGAAGCAGGGCACAATTTCAACTTTCTGGACATGAGGCCATGATTGAGATCAAAATATGTTTGGGGAAGAGCCTGGTTAAACTATAATAAAATAAATGGTCAGAGGGGAAGTCACATGGCTGTTGGTGTGATGCTCATTGCTGCTTCACGGACACGGCCTGGAGTGAAGCAGGCCTCCCAAGGGCCCTCTCCTGGTCCTGCAGCCCCTTCTCCTCTGGGCACAGGGTCAGGGTTCCCAGCAAAGATGTCTCAAGGCTTTGGAATCCCACACGCTCAATGGATGTGCTCAGTGGTGCTCAATGACCAGCACCAACGTCAAGACCAATATCCTCAGTGAAGTCTGACTATGTTTTCTGGTGGGACTCCCCAGAAACAGACCCTGAGATGAGCATTGGGAACCAGTGATTTATTAAGGAAGTGGCTCCAGGAAAAACCAGGAAGGGAGTAGAAGGAGCAAAACAAGGAAAGAGAAGAAGCCAAACAAGAATGTGATTTCAGGCGTAGTGTCAACCTGATTACTGGAGAGCTCTGGAGCCTAAGTTGGCAGCCCAGAGTTGTTCCATCTGGAGGCGGGGTTTTGTGCACCGGCACCAGTCATTGGCTATGGGACTTTGGCACTCTGAGTGGGCACCAGGGCACTAGAAGTCCACGGGCAAACATCTGAATAGGATCACAGTTAGAGTTATTAGCAGCAAAGTCACAGGAGTTGGGGATAGGCTCATAGAATCAGAAAAGGATCTGAGCAGGGCACAAGAGTGTCCACTGCTCTGGGTAATATCAGGTTCTTATGATGTGGAATTGTTAAATGTAAGTATTTGTGATTTGGACCATGGTATAAAAATCCATACAAGGTAGCCTAGGTCTAACAGGGTCTTTGTGAACAAACTCCTGAGGCCCTACAATAGATTACCTAGTCGGTTGCCAAGCCTAGAAGCCACTTCCAAGCTCTTTGGGATACACCTGAGGGCTTCTGACCCTTCAGCCCCATCTTGGGCTTCTGGGCAGATGTTTGGTGTTGTCAACTCAAGGGGCTGCTGCAAAATGAAAATCACTAGTTCTCTCACTATTCAACCCATGGGTCCAGCCCTCTGAAGTCACCCCTCCCTCGTATACCCAACTACTGGGGCCCAAGCCACAGCAAGGCCAATCTTCAATGGGATCTCCTGACCCACCTGTATCTAAGATTCCCCAAGGGATGCTGGTGTGTTAAATCAATCCTGGTGGTGTTTCCACCACCATTTCTTAAACACGGACTACATGCCAGGCACCCGACAGGCTGAACTATATGAAATGTCATTCTGAAGTTCAAAATGGTCAAAGAGAGATGATTTCACAAGGTTCAACCAAATATTTTACATTCATTATCTTATCTAATTCTCACAGCAAAGCTGTGAGGTTTTTATCCCCACTTTATAGATGAGGAAGCTGAGACTCAGACAGGAAGTGACTTGCTCAAGGTTGCACAGCAGGAAGTAGCAGAATTGGGATCCACTGCCCACCACCTGGTGGTGTGACTCCAGAGTCCAGCTGCTGAACCCCTGCTTCCTAACCCAAGTTCAAGGAATCATCATTCTTTTATTCATAAATGTTGCCTTTATGCCAGTCATGTTTTAGCACACTAGACATCCTGTTAGAATCTTACAAGAAAACTCCACTGCCTGCAAGCAAGATGTCTGGAGATTACAGGATTCCTACAAACCCCTCAAAGGCAATAGAGCCCATAGTGAAATGCCCTCTGTGGATCACAGTATGTGCTCTCTAGTCTTCAGCTCAGAATAAGATGGCATCTCAAAATCATGAGAAGCAAATTACATACATTCACCCACCCACTCATTTTCTATAAATGTAGGCCTCGAATACACTTCTGTGTTGCAAAACTTGGCTAAGTTCCTGTTTCAATCTTTATTTTGAAATATGTAAGAGAGTGGGGATGTTATGAAGATGGCAAGAAGCAGGGCACAATTTCAACTTTCTGGACAAGAGGCCATGATTGAGATCAAAATATGTTTGGGGAAGAGCCTGGTTAAACTATAATAAAATAAATGGTCAGAGGGGAAGTCACATGGCTGTTGGTGTGATGCTCATTGCTGCTTCACGGACACGGCCTGGAGTGAAGCAGGCCTCCCAAGGGCCCTCTCCTGGTCCTGCAGCCCCTTCTCCTCTGGGCACAGGGTCAGGGTTCCCAGCAAAGATGTCTCAAGGCTTTGGAATCCCACACGCTCAATGGATGTGCTCAGTGGTGCTCAATGACCAGCACCAACGTCAAGACCAATATCCTCAGTGAAGTCTGACTATGTTTTCTGGTGGGACTCCCCAGAAACAGACCCTGAGATGAGCATTGGGAACCAGTGATTTATTAAGGAAGTGGCTCCAGGAAAAACCAGGAAGGGAGTAGAAGGAGCAAAACAAGGAAAGAGAAGAAGCCAAACAAGAATGTGATTTCAGGCGTAGTGTCAACCTGATTACTGGAGAGCTCTGGAGCCTAAGTTGGCAGCCCAGAGTTGTTCCATCTGGAGGCGGGGTTTTGTGCACCTGCACCAGTCATTGGCTATGGGACTTTGGCACTCTGAGTGGGCACCACGGCACTAGAAGTCCACGGGCAAACATCTGAATAGGATCACAGTTAGAGTTATTAGCAGCAAAGTCACAGGAGCTAGGGAATAGGCTCATAGAATCAGAAAAGGATCTGAGCAGGGCACAAGAGTGTCCACTGCTCTGGGTAATATCAGGTTCTTATGATGTGGAATTGTTAAATGTAAGTATTTGTGATTTGGACCATGGTATAAAAATCCATACAAGGTAGCCTAGGTCTAACAGGGTCTTTGTGAACAAACTCCTGAGGCCCTACAATAGATTACCTAGTCGGTTGCCAAGCCTAGAAGCCACTTCCAAGCTCTTTGGGATACACCTGAGGGCTTCTGACCCTTCAGCCCCATCTTGGGCTTCTGGGCAGATGTTTGGTGTTGTCAACTCAAGGGGCTGCTGCAAAATGAAAATCACTAGTTCTCTCACTATTCAACCCATGGGTCCAGCCCTCTGAAGTCACCCCTCCCTCGTATACCCAACTACTGGGGCCCAAGCCACAGCAAGGCCAATCTTCAATGGGATCTCCTGACCCACCTGTATCTAAGATTCCCCAAGGGATGCTGGTGTGTTAAATCAATCCTGGTGGTGTTTCCACCACCATTTCTTAAACACGGACTACATGCCAGGCACCCGACAGGCTGAACTATATGAAATGTCATTCTGAAGTTCAAAATGGTCAAAGAGAGATGATTTCACAAGGTTCAACCAAATATTTTACATTCATTATCTTATCTAATTCTCACAGCAAAGCTGTGAGGTTTTTATCCCCACTTTATAGATGAGGAAGCTGAGACTCAGACAGGAAGTGACTTGCTCAAGGTTGCACAGCAGGAAGTAGCAGAATTGGGATCCACTGCCCACCACCTGGTGGTGTGACTCCAGAGTCCAGCTGCTGAACCCCTGCTTCCTAACCCAAGTTCAAGGAATCATCATTCTTTTATTCATAAATGTTGCCTTTATGCCAGTCATGTTTTAGCACACTAGACATCCTGTTAGAATCTTACAAGAAAACTCCACTGCCTGCAAGCAAGATGTCTGAAGATTACAGGATTCCTACAAACCCCTCAAAGGCAATAGAGCCCATAGTGAAATGCCCTCTGTGGATCACAGTATGTGCTCTCTAGTCTTCAGCTCAGAATAAGATGGCATCTCAAAATCATGAGAAGCAAATTACATACATTCACCCACCCACTCATTCTTTTTTCCCTTTAACAGTTAAGCATCTTTTGTGTATAACACTAGAGTGATCATATACTTTTTCATCTAAACCAGAGGGAAAACAGGCAATAGCAAGCCTTAAAGGTGAAATAATCATAAATTTTTAAGTAATAAAAAGGTGAAAACTGGAACTATGCTGGGCAAACCAAGATGTCTGTTCCCCCTGGAAAATCCTATGCAGGAGACAGGATCTCATCCCTCCTGGAACTAATAGCCAAGTCAGGGAGACAGACAGGAGAGCAGAGGCAGACTGATGGGGGAATGAATAAGGTACCAACAGCTGTGGAAACATACGTCCCTACACACACAATTACTTCCAGCTGGGAGAGTGACCCAGGGTGGGCTTGCTGTTCATTTGGGCTAGGGAGGGTGTTGAATGAATGCAGAAATGGATGACTGAGGAGAAAAGGGAGGGCAGCTGCAAAGCTGAGCAGACACAAAGGGGTGTAAGTGTGTGGCATGTTTGAGAAACGGTGATCATAAAGAGTGGCTGTAATATAGATTAACATGATGCTAGAAATAGGGTTTGGGCAATGGGAACCCCTTGAAGGTTTGGGGCAGCTGCAGTCACATGATCAATCTTTTATTTGAGAAACAGCTCAGCAACATATATTTTTTTCTTTTTGGTTTATTCCCTGTATATTTTTTAATGGCATAAGTGCTATATGTTGATGGAGGAATTTTAGAAATACAGAGAAGCAAAAAATAAATAAAAATTACTCATAATCCCACCCCCAGAGATACTTTTTTTTCCCACATTTTTTCTTGGTGATATATATTTTTTAAGGTATCATCAATATACAATCTTATGAAGGTTTCACATGAGCAACATTGTGGTTTTAACATTCACCCATATTATCAAGTCCCCCCAACACCCCATTGCAATCACTGTCCATCAGAGTAGTAAAATGCTATAGAGTCACTACTTGTCTTCTCTGCGCTGTACTGCCTTCCCTGTGACCTACTTATATTATGCATGCTTATAGTGCCCCTTAATCACCTTCTCCCTCCCTCCCCACCCATCCCCCACCCCTCCCCTTTGGTAACTGCTAGTCCCTTCTTGGAGTCTGAGTCTGCTGCTGTTTTGTTCCTTTAGTTTTGCTTCATTTTTTTTTTATCATTAATGTACA